AGAGAAACTATTGTGATGACTCATATAAAATATAATGCGCTGGGCAGTGGTGGCGCACTTTAACCCCTGCACTTATGAGGCAGACACAGGCAGGTCTCTGTGAGTTCAAGGCTAGCCTGCTCTAAAAGCAAGTTCCAGGATGGTCAGAGCTACACACAGCTACTCTGTCTCAAAAAAATAAATACAGACAAGGCAGGTGTGACAGCTCACACCTTTAATCCCAGCATTCGTTCAGTAGGCTTGGGCAAGATAATTTTGAGTCCAGCCCAGGCTACACAGTAAGAATTTGTCTCCAGAAAAGTTCTGAGGACTGGGGCGCTCACTTGGCTTAGTATTTTCCATGCGCATATAAGGACCTGAGTTTAATCTCCAGAACCCATAAAAAAGTCAAGCTTGGTGGTATGTGCTTGTAATGCCAGCACTGGGGAGGCAGAGACAGTGGGAAGCTCCAGGGAGCCCTAGGTCAGCCAGTCCAACTTAATCTGCAAATCTCTGGCCAATAAGAGAAAAGAAAAACAAGAACAAAACCAGTGTGGTAAGGGGAGAGTAAAGCAGAGATGAATGGTATAAATCCAAACAGAATCTGATCAAACCAACTGATCTCTCTATTCCTCAACTGCTTTCCCTGGAAAAACGAGGGAAGAATAGCAAGAAGTGTGTAGCGTGTGTATGTGTGTGTGTCCCGCGTACACACTGAGTGGTGCGGAGGACATAAACAGTAAAATACTGCCTTCCCCACGGTCCTTCTTGTTATCAAGAAAAAGCAGCCTAGTTTCCCAGGGAAGACAAAAAAAAAAAAATTCCCTACATTCTAAAGAAGCAAAAACAAACAAACCCACAGGGACTGGAAAGATGGCTCAGAGGTTAAAAGCACTTGCTTCTCTTCCAGAGGACCCAGGTTCAAGTCCCAGCACCCACATGGCAGCTCACAGACATCTGTAACTTTAGTTCCAGGGGAATCCAATGCCCTCTTCTGGCCTCTGTGGGCACAAGACACGCATGTGGCACACAGATATGCAGGCAAAACTCCCACAGACATGAAAAAATTAAATACACCTTTATAAAAACCACAAACAAGATTTTTTTTCATGTGAGACACTGTAAGAAGCTGTCGATAGATGGGTAAAGTAGGTTTTAGAACAATCAGATGAGACTCTGGCCTGGCTCTACTCAAAGAGATCCCTGGGTACCCAGTAAAATTTTAATAAATATCAGTCACTTGACCTGAAGAGAAGCTGTGCAAAGACCACCTGGCTGCTGGCAGCCTAGAGGTTGGGGGTCCTGGGAAGCAGTTTCAGGGTGACTGTGCAAAGGGATCAAACGCTTCTCTGCAAAGCTACGAACTGGCCTGTAGACACCCAATGATCCCTTGGGTGGCCTGCCTGGCCATCAACATCAGCCTCTCCTGCTGGTGGCCAATGGCACTGCTCAGGAGCCTATCCATGCCCTTCAGACAGGAGCAACAAGGCAGAGATCTCGAAGCAACAGATGCTTCCTCTGCTAATCTCTACAAATAACTGCACATACTTCATTACTGGCTCTTCTTAAAGATTAAGTTGGGAAGCCTCAACCGGATGGGCTGTTTAGGAAATCTGCCTGGTAGGAAAACAGGCTTCTGGACACGGAGGGAGGCAGTGTGAGAGGGAAGAGGCCAATGTGAACCATAAAAAGGAGGGCTCTTGGAGGTCACTAGCTCACCATCTAGACAATATTTTCCTAAGTGCCTACTGGGTGTGAAACACTGGCGACAGAGAAATAGGATTTAGCCCTGACCATCTGGGAAGTTACAGTCTAGCAAGGAGGCATGTGGAAACAGAAGCCTCATTTCACGTGCTAAGTCAGATTAGGCCAAAGCAAAGCTGGAGGGCAGGGATCAAGCCCAGCCAAGCCCAGGGAAGACAGATAGCTCAGCCTACGGCAGGGAAGAGGTGAAAAGGCACAGAGACTAGGAAATGCTCAAGGGAATCTAGCGGGCTGGAGGAATGTGTGAGCAACGACAAGTCAGAGAGGAGCTGGGATAACTAGGACCCAGATGCCCAAGAGCCTTATACATGCTGAGGAGTGTCGGATTCCACAAGAAACGTCAAAGACCAACTTTTTAACTCACACAGCAAAGTCAGGGAAAGTCAAGCACGGGATCCAGACCTCTGGGCTCCCCAACTCCCATTCTCTACCCTTGGAAGCTCTCAAGCTCACAGGCAGGGAAGGGAAGCGAGAAGAGAGTTAACTGCCCGTGCAACATTCACCTGCTGGAGAATCCCAGCCAGGCCTTGGTCATCTCCCCAGCAGGGAATGTGCTGTCCCAGTCATTGGGCAAAGTCACGCTGAGATCGCTGAGATCGGCCCTTCCAAGTCATTGCTTCTCTGCAGTGGGAGTGGTCTGGGCATCTCGTCCATTCCCAGAACACAGTCTCTGCACAGGCGAACAAGAGCTTGACTACAGCAGTCCAGGGCCGTACAAAGCCAGGGTCAGTCAGGGAGGCAAGTGTCAGAAGGAATTCTGGTGTGCTGGAGGGATGCTGGCTGCACACAGTGGGGTTGAGGGAGTGGGAGACCAGAGGGAACCAAACTCCACCTGGGAGCACACACACGTCGGCAGGGAAGATTAGCTGCACACAAAAGTATCTAGAAGGCAGACAGGGCTAAGAGTCGGCAGAGAAAAGCGCAGTGGGGGTTCGCAGCTGAGAGAGGAGCCCAGGGGCGCTGGGTGGTGGCTGCTGGACGCCTGAAGAGGAACATTGGCTACCTGCGGGAGGCTGCCCTATCAGTTGGGGCTCTCGGACAAAGGCCCGTGCTTGGTTGAGGTCTCTTGAAGAATCTAGAACTGGGAGGCAGGTAGGCCCAAGAGTTCCAGAGATACAGAGGGGAAGAAAGGGAGGGATTTCAAAGCAAAAGCAGGAAGGCTACTTTAAAAGGGGACAAAGCTAGAGGCCTTGCTTAAAATGACATTTGTACAGAAATTTTTCTTAGGATAAGCATTTAGGATGGGGGGAGGTGATAGTTGTGTACATTGTGGTGAGGAGAACATTTAAGTTTCCCTCTGGCAAGCTCCCCATCAGTCTTTCCACTGGTGGGAAAGAATATGAGGTAGTGGAAGAAGAAGCCCCCCCCCCCCCCCCCCGCCACACACACACCTTCAGAATCTAGCATCTCTCAGGACATCCAGCAAGGGAGTTTGGGGATAGAGAAGGGCCACACCCCATCCTTAGGCCCCAGTGCCCACCCAGCCAAGCAAGACTGCAGGGATGTACGGATGCAGGAGAAACCCAGACCACGGCTCTGCCCTGCACTTCCTGCCGGCCCCAGGGAGTGGTGGTCTCCTGGGGCAAGCCCTGCCCTGGCACTGCAAACACACCTGCTCCGTGACCTGCTGTGACACTTGTCACGGGGGGGGGGGTCCCTCCACAACCGAGGAATTGAGGAATCAGCATTGATAGTCCGAATGGGGAGGCGGGGGTCCCGAGCCTCACACGCTTCTCCCGCGCGGCGTCCCGAGGGCCCAATAGGCCGCGCGCACCGCTGCCCGGCACTGCGGGCTCCCCCGGCCCCCGGAAGGGCCGCCGTCCGCCCGCCGTCCTCCCGCCGCCCGCCACCCGCTCACTCACCCGCTCGGCCGGCCGCACTCCAGGCTCCTCGGCCGCCGCCTCAAGCCGCGTCCCGGGTAGCGCGGGCCCCACGGCCCCGGCCCGACCGGCTGCACCCCGTGGCCCCGCGCGCCCCCGCCGCCAGCTGGCCCCGCGCGAGCGTCCGAACGGCGGCGGGCATGCTCCGGGCCGTCGGCGGCGGCGCACGTGCTGGCGCGGGACTCGGGCCGCCGACCGCTGTGGCCTCTGGTGAACGCGGGCTGAGGGGGACGCGGGCCGGGCCGGCAGGAGCGCTCTGAGCCCCGGCGCCGCCGTGCCCCCCACGCGCCTCAGCGGCCGCTGCCTCCCGCGCGCGCCGGCCCGGCTCGCATTCCCTCAGTCGCGGCGGCGGCGGGCGGCGCCTCCTCAGGCCGCGCGGGGGAGCGGCGGGGGCGCGGCGCGGAGGAGCCGGGCCGCCGCCTGCGCCGGAAGAGCCGCTCCGACTCTGCCCCGCACCGCCGGGCCCGCGCGCGGGAGGTCGAGAGGCGACCGCTCGGGGAGGGACCCCGGAGCTGGCGGAGCTAGCGGCTTCGGGGTTTTGTTTCTGACTAAACTCCTCAGGAGTCAGACGACACACTTAAGGAAACAAGCTGCGGCGAAAGCCATGGGGCGCTGGGAATACTGGGGCAGGCCCCGCGCCGAGTCCGTGTGGAAACCCGTGGTCTTTGCCTACAGCCGCCGAGTCCTTTGCACAAGGCTCCGGGCGGGAAAAAGCCATCAGCGGCGGGAGTAGTGGCCGCCTGACAGCGTGTGCAGCTCAGGTCCCCACCTCCCAGAGAGCAGGCTCAGGGCCAGAAATAGCTTCATCGTGATGCACCTCTCCCCTAGGAAGCTCTGGTTGCCACATTTTGAAACCAAGAGGGTACGTGGTGCGAGTCAAAGAAAAGGTTACGGGTTTTTGTGGGTTACACAAGGACAGCCCTGCTTGCCAAAAGTTTGTGTCGTGGACCTAAATTAAAGCACACACCTAACACCTAGTGATGGCTGACTACGGGCTAGAGAGAGGAGCCCAGTGTCCAGATAAAAGCCAAGGAGCAGGGGACCATACTACGTGTTCATCTCTTCGGGCAGAGTAGAGACTGAGAGGGCAAGAAATGCAGTTTACAGAACGTGATGCCCACACCCAGACAACTGAAGGTGTCCATCAAATACTCCAGCCCTGGAATCACCAAAAGGTGCCCTAAAGTGCTTTCTAGACACACACACAAACACATCTCCAGGGTGCTATTGATTGCTTGGAATTGACTTCCTTTATTAATTTTAGTATCTCCATGATTGCTAACCGAACAGACAACTCCTGGGACTTAATACCACCATTAAAACTGGCTGTTACTGCCACCGTGAATAAACTCACAAATACCACGAGACAGCTCAGATCCACAAATATTTATTGAGTGCCTAGATGCAAGATGGAAGATGACATGGTCCCTGCTCTCTCAGAGCTTACAACTTCATTATTCCGGTGTTTGACCAGATTTTAAAAAACAAGCATGACAAGCACTTGCCTGACCAACAGCAGCAATGTATTAGCAACTGTTTTTCACATTATGGGTTACTGTCAAAGTAGCCAATGTAAGTAAAATACAATTAACCTTTGAAATCTTATAGTGAAGGCATGGTAGGTAATGTTCAGCAAATGCAAAGCTATGGCTTGGTTCCTCACATATTTGAGGTCTCCAGTGAAATAAAGGGCGAATATGTGGGGAAAGGGTTTTAGTGAGGTCCTAAAGCACTGGACTAGTTCGACAAGGTGTTAAACTTCCGTATTGCTCTTGGCAGAGCAGGAAATAACTCCTGTCAAAATCTGTGCAATACCAGGGTTTAGCCAGGTTGGCAACATCCAGAAGTGAGCATGACCCATTGATGAATGCTCTCCCTTCATTCCTAAAGGTCTCTACGTGCCACTTACTTATTCTAAGGGTTTTAAAGACCTGCGGTACAAAGTGGCACATTTAAAATGAGTGGAAACTGTTGAGTCATGTGACACTAAGATGATGAAAATGTCTGATCTCACTACATATTTGGGTGCAGGCTTCACAGGACAAGCAGCGTTTGGCAAAGCACCTGGCTTTTCTATGTTAAAAGGATTCCACTAGTCTCTTGATGCTTGTAAATCCACATAAATCTAAGGCTCGGTGGCAGGCACTTCTTCAAGGTGGTCCATCCTCTAGAGGTCTAATCACAAAACATTTGAGGGAAAAATTTTGGTTAAACTTGCAGTAAACTATAATGGAAAAAGTCAATATTTATGCCCAGTAATACCCTTCCATCCATTAAGATCAAAATGCTTTCTGAATTTACATTTGATGGGTTAATGTTTTATAATTTTAGTCAACCAATAAATAACATACCAAGGAAATTCATTTACAATTCAAGAAAACCCTTGACTTTTATCAAACAGCAAAGACAAAATAGACCACCTAACACAAATGACAGCCCAATGGAGTGACTGGGACAAAACCATCAACTTTAAAAAAAAAAAAGCCACTGGATTGGGAATATAGTGTGTGCCTTTAAAAATAAAAATAAAAAAGAAACAACACTATCTCAAAATCCTAGTAACTGATGAAACTGAAACACGCTGTTTGGTACACACTTAAGGAAGCACTGGCCTGTCGGTCCCCTCTGGATCCCCTATCATTTGGTCTATAAAGTGAGGAAGCCAGCCTTAGCCAGGGTGTAACCAGGTCTGCAGCTGGTCTCTGAGAAGGAAGGGCACATCTCCACATTTCAAAGGCACGTCCCAGAAGCCTCAGACTCACTGGGGTTCTTGGTGGTTTGTTTTTTACTAGCTGCAGCATAACCTCAGCACAGAAACAGTTTGCCTCCCTTGGGCAGCAGATGCTCTTTAAGACTGCTATCTTCCCCACTTTGAGGCTAACTTGATTGTTATTCAAGTGTTCTTAAGATATGCATTACTAAGGGGAAAGGCAGCTGCAAGAATTTTCCTTGGTGTCTTTCTTCATAACTATGAAGAATAAAATTTCTTTTTCAAATAAGTAATTGATAGTTTAAATCTATTACACACTTCAAAAACCAAAGCATATGCTTTCTGAGAAGCACAGAAGATGTTTTGATGGAACTTAATGCCTTTTTTGGAATAAGCCAATTATAGGCACCTAAGAAGATAACTCCTTGGCAAGATAAGCTACCATCTCTTCTGAAGTGGCAATCTCCTGCTTCTTGAGAATATAGTAGACTTATAATAAATGGAGAGAACAATGAGATAAAAACACAGTGGACTTGTTCGAGTTGTCATGTTTGTTGACCTCACATGCAAGGCAAGGACTCTACCACTAGGCGTACTGTACTCCAGCCGTGAATGCTGCATGTCACCTACAGGGACATCTTAAGAAATAGCCCATCCCCTTATAAGCTCTAGACACAAGCTGTACAGGAGCTTGATTAAAATGAACCTTGTTTTACTGTAACATCATTTTTACAAGGCTAACAGAAAAACCAAGAATAAAGGCACTTACTTCTAATGACAAGAAATCCTGATTAAGTCTTCACTGGTTACTGACTGTGAACTCCAAGGACCCCCTCCTACCTCAGAGTCCCCACAAGTAGGACAGGGTCCAGGCCAATCGGTCGCCAGGTAAAGCTTTGATCAGAAGATGCTCGAAGACCACCCGATGTTCTGCTGAGGCATACACACCTTAATGGGATTCCTGGCATGTCTTGGTTCGATATAAATATATATGAAGAACTACATACGTGGAAAGAACTCAGAGGCAAACCAAAATCAAAACCTTGAGCACTAGCCCTGGAAATCAACTATGAGAGCTCAGATTCCAAGAACATGGGTGTTGAGTTCAGAGTGGTCTCCAGAAGTGAGGGGGTGAGCAGTGCAGATATCACCAACAGTCCCAACACAAACAGATATGTGCTGCTCCTCGACCAGAAAAGCTTCTCCTGCCCACACAGTGCTCTCAGAGAGAGCTAGGGAATGCCACCCATGTGGTGGGCTACAGGCCACGGCAGGGCCCTGGAAAAGACACCAGGCTCTATCTGGACATAAATCCTGTCCTTTATCAGGCAGAGTAGAATGCTGTGAGCCCAAACCAACAGTTATCACAGCAGCTACTATGTAGGTCTTTTTCTTTTTGGCAAGGGTGGAGTGGTAGGTCAGTGAGGTTAAGAGGGTAATGGCTTTGGGAGCTAAAGCTTTATGTTTAATAGAAATTGGAGCTACACTGGAAACTATCCAAGCTGTGACACAACGTACATCCTGGATGGGGGCAGAAAACCCCAGCTCTCCACCTGCTGCTCTCCATCTTTGTTTTCTTTCCTTAAAAATATTTTCAGGGAAATCAAACAAGTTATATGTAGTTTTTAAACTCTTCAGTATTCGAGTCTTATTCATTTTTATGTTTAATTATTTATTGCGGTGTGAACGTGCTGAAGTGTATATGTAGAGGTCAGAAGACAACTTACAAAAGTCATTTCTTTCTCATATGTGGGTTCGGGAACTCAAAATGGTCCTCAGGCTTGGTGGCAAGCACCTCTACCTGTTAAGACATCTTGTTGGCTTAACTGTTCTACTATTCACTACAAGGCAGAAGTTTAACATAGAAACTGTGTTATCATTTCTAAAACACTTCTACAGAATCTAAATGCAAATTATACTATAATTTTTAATATTCAATGTTAGTCTATCCTTATGGAAGCTGTGAATCATTTATTTTAAAAATGAATTATATTTACAATATAGAACAAGTTTATAAAATCGGTGTGCAAAGTTCATTGTAAAAGGATAACACTATTTCCTTAGCAACAAGCCACCTCCTGTTTACATTTCCTTATTGTTGACAGAAATTGAAGACATACACTATTTAAAAATAATGCCTTTTAAATAGTAAAATATACAAGAAGTTCCTGAGCATAACGAAAATATCTTGAAAATATGTGGCCATTTGAGTATAAAATAGCAAGTGTAATAATAACATGATTGTAAAACTACTGTTTGAAGTCTTATAAACAGTACAAAAAAGCTTGTCTTTTCTGAGAGCAGAACTGTACATCAGTGCAAACAAAAATGTCTCAGATTTAATGGCTACCAATCTCAAAGGTTTGCAGAGCTGCGCAAGATATGAAACTTCTTGAGTGTCATTCGAACTGAACCCAGTTCACGATTGATCCTTTCCAAACGATCTTCCAAGGCTTCCTAGGTAAAAGTAATGAGAAAGGTGTCAACAGAATCCACACCAAGTCCTCTAGGTCAACAGCCAACTGCCACCTACAGACCTCTGATTAGAGCACAAAAGCAAGCATAAAATCAAAACGACAGATTTTTCTTTCTACATAAATCATCATATTGACATTATTATTCTTTTTGTTTGTTTGTTTGTTTTGAGACAGGTTTTTCTCTGTGTAGCCCTGACTGTCCTGGAACTTGCTATGTAGATCAGTCTACCCTCGAACTCAGAGATCTGCCTGCCTCTGCTTCCCAAGTGCTGAAATTAAAGGTGTGTACCACCACCACATAGCCAACACTATTTTTCTTTTTCTTTTTTCTTTTTTTTGGTTTTTCAAGACAGGGTTTCTCTGTGGCTTTGGAGCCTGTCCTGGAACTAGCTCTTGTAGACCAGGCTGGTCTCGAACTCACAGAGATCCGCCTGCCTCTGCCTCCCAAGTGCTGGGATTAAAGGCGTGGGCCACCACTGCCCGGCTAACACTATTTTTCTTAAACTGAACAATGAATCAGCTTCTCAACCCTTGTAAATAAGCACGGCCATCCTTGGTCTGTTTTGGCATTCTTGGCATATGAGAATTCTGCACAGCAGTGCAGCCACAGGCAGGGGTGGTGGTAATGACTTGAGATCAGTATTTTGAAGCCCAAATGTGCTCTCCATGGGTCACCAGAGAAGTGTGCATATTGAGTGCAGCTGTAGCCAAATAATCTGACAAAATTTCTCCCTTTTAATCCCAGGCAGAGGCAGGTGGATCTCTGTGAGTTCAAGGCCAGTCTGGTCTACAGAGTGAGTTCCAGGACAAGCTCCAAAGCCACAGAGAAATGTCTTGAGAAAACCAAACAAACAAACAAAACATTATTGAAGCTGGGCATGGTGGCTCAGAGCTATAATAACAGTTCTTGGGAGGCAGAGGCAGGTGGGTTGTGAGTTTGAGACCAATCTGGTCTACAGAACGAGTTCCAGAACAGTCAGGGCTGTACAGAAAAATCTTGTCTCATTAAAAAAAGAAAAGAAAAAGAAAAAACAGAGACTTCAGGAGAAAAGAGTTCACAGTTATAATGAAGAAGTACAGTTAATGATACCTGGAATATATATTTACCAATCTAGATCATTTATTCTATATTGACACAAATGCCATCCTGAAATAGAACTTGATCCCCTGGCTCCTTGAGACAGGGTTTCTTTGTATAGCCTTGCCTGTCCTCAAACTCTCTAGACCAGGTTGGTCTCGAACAAGAGATCCACCTGCCTCTTCCTCTTGAGTGCTGGGATTAAAGTCATGCACCACCACTACCTAGCTTAGAACTTGAAATTTTTATATTTAACAATGTTAGTAAAAGGATTGAATATACATTGTGAACACTGAGAAAATCGAGGAGCAAAGGAAGGACCAGCACCCTCTTCCCTGTTTCCCTCGTATATATGCATATCCTTTTTAGAAAGGAAAAACTCAGAATGGAATGTTGCAAATAGTTTCCTTTGAACTTTCTTGGCATATTATAAAGTTGGCATATTATAAAGTATCTTCCAACAATATCCTCCTAAATTAATGCACAATATTCCTTCACAAGTAACACGTTTAACCAGGAATCTTTCAGTAGAAATTTAGGTTGCTTCTAATTTTGGACACTATAAATAAGGCCGCAGTACATTTCTTAAACATATCTCTTTGCAGTATCTATAAATACTGACTTTGCAATCACTGGCAGACAGAAAAAAAAGTGCTTCAGTTCAAAGAAATGCAAAAAAAATTCTGCATTCCAGAAAGTCTGTGTTGATTTCTACTTGCATCTGCATTGTCTACACTCTATATGAGTTGTTTTAAAAAACAAAACACCTGATAATTGGACATGCTGATGCACACTTATAATCCCACAACTCCTAAAGCTGAGACAGGAGGCTGATGAGTTCAAAGTCAGCCTAGAACCTGTCTAAAAGAATCACAAAACCAAACCTGCTAACGTAGAGGGAAAAAAGAAAAGAAAAAACTTAAAAAATTGTATTAGCAGGTTATTTCTCTTTTCATTAACATAATCTCTGTAGGGGATGAAAAAATGGCTCAGTAGTTAAGAGCATTTCCTGCTCCTGCAGAGGACTTGGATTTAATGCCCAGCACCTACATGTTGGTTCACAATGAATTATAACTCCAGTTCCAGCGTATATGATGCCCTCGTCTGGCCTCCTTAAGCACCAGGCACACATGTAGTGCACAGACATATGTGTAGATAAAACACTCGTACATATGAAATAATTTTTAAAGGAATAAATATAAATAAAGACAAATCTCAAGTAGTCCATGCCAATGTTGAATTCAATATATGGCTGGTGATGACTTTGAACTTCTGATCCTGCCTTCACCTCTCAAATACTGGGACCATATATGTGCACCTCTATATCCAATTTTTCAATTTATTATTACTGTGTGTTACTGGGGAATGAACATGGGCCTTGCATATGGTAGGAAATGTTCTGCCACCACTGGGCCACACCTTCAGTCCTTATACCCAGTTTTGTGTGGTACTGGGAATGGAACCCAGGGTTTTATATAAGAGGCAAGAACTCTCAACCTAGCTAGATCCCAAATCTGTTTTATTTTTTGAGACAGAATCTAACAGCCTAGCCTGGCTTCCAAATTGGAATCCTACTGCCTCAGCCTGCAAAGCACAGGGATGGCATGTGTTGAGCCACAATCTCCACTTCAGTGCATGATTCTTCTTTTGTTTTGTTTTAAAGAGATGTTATTTATTTATTATGTATACAGTGTTCTATCTGCATGTATGCCTTTATGCCAGAAGAGGGCACCAGATCCCACTGTAGATGGTTGTGAACAACCACATGGTTGCTAGGAATTGAACTCAGGACCTCTAAAAGAGCAGCCAGTGCTCTTAACTTCTGAGCCATCTCTCCAGCCCCCAATGCATGATTCTTAATAACAGGATGGGTGCTCTTTTTATTTGTTTTTTTGAGATGGTCTCTCTGTGTATGTAGCCTTGGCTGTCCTGGAACTTGCTCTATAGACCAGGCTGGCCTTGAACTCAACGATTCACCTGCCTCTGTCTCCTGAGTGCTGGGGTTAAAAGTGAAGATGGGCGTTCTTTAATCACTGGGGCTGGACATAAAAGCCAGCACCTTGTGCATATTACACAGATAACTACCACCTTTCACTTTGCTGTCACAAACTAACACTCTGAACCACAAGCCAAAATGAATGCTTCCTTCTATAAGTTGCTTTGGTCGTGATATTTTATCACAGCACTAGAAAAGTAACTAACACAGTCCACCGTGCTCTACGATGCTTCTTAGAGCACGGAGTCTATCTGGTCCCTAATGCAGCTCCCAGCTAAGCTGTCTCACCTGATTTAGTCTTGTTTGTAAAGTGATTCTTCCTCCAGGAGAAGGCATCCGGCTTAATGCTGCCTCAATCTGTTAATAAGAGAAAGTATTCAAATAAAAACAAAAGAATTCTAATTATTGGCACTGAGCTTTCTGACACAGAAGGGAAAGAAAAGATTTCAGCTTAGCATTTTCTTGTCCATCTTGGCTTAACATAGTTCCCTATGTACTCAGTTAATAACAATCGTGTGGCTCAAGGGCATGTCTGGTGGAGTTTTGGTATCCATGTACTGTACCCAAGGTGAATTCCTTATGACAAGTCTGACACAGTGATGTCCTTTGTGGTGCTTTGAATAAGAATGGCTTCCACTGGTGGTGGAGCATGCCTTTAATCCCAGCACTCAGGAGGCAGAGGTAGGTGGATCTCTCTGAGTTTGAGGCCATCCTGGTCTACAGAGTGAGTTACAGGACATGCTCCAAAGCTACAAAGAAACCCTGCCTTGAAAAAAATGACAAAACAAAACAAAACAGAAAGAAAAAAAAAGAAAGAATGGCCCCCATTAGGCTCACGTATTTGAATGCTAGTCATCAGGATTGACAGTGCTTGAGAAGGATTAGGAGGTGTGGCCTTACTGAAGGAAGTGTGTCACTAGGAAAGGGCTTTCAAAAGCCCAAGCCAAGCCCAGAGCTGCTCTTCCTGCTGCATGCATCTAAATATACAAAGAACTCTCAGCTACTTCTCCAGCACCTTCTTACTTATATGCCCCCATGCTCCCTGCCATGATGACGGACTAACCCTCTGAAACCATAAGCAAGCCCCAATGGTTTTTGTTTTGTTTTCTTTTTTAATAAGAGCTGCCTTGGTCATGGTATCTCTTCACAGCAATTGAACAGTGACTAGGATACCCTTCCTATATTTGACTTTTTTTCTGTTAAGTGGTTTGTGGTTGTGTGTTTAATTTGTTGTTTGTTTTGGAGACAAGGTCTCACCATATAACCCGAGCTGTAACTTATGATCCTCATGCCTCAGCCTCCCAAGGGCTGAAACACAGGCATATGCCACTTTGTCCAGCTCAGTAATTCCCTTCTGACTATTCCCTCTAGACATAAGCATTAGATTCAGGAAAAGTTTTTTTTTTTTTATATTTTATTAGTTTTACCTGGTCTTTTTCTTTGGTAAGTTCATCAAAAAATCGCTCCGTTTCAGCTAGGGTCCTAATTTTTGCTGTATATTCAAAATCGTTACCCTGTAGTGCTGCTGGCACCGGCTTACGCTGCTCAAGGCTAACGGATTTACTCTTCTCCCAGGCTTGTCGTGTGGACACTTTCTTCACACCACTTGGCAAGGGTTCAGGACAAGAGCTATGATTAACAGGGTCATCACTGGCTTTTTCTGAATACTTTTGTTCTGTCAGAAAAGAAAGAAATTTCCTATGTTTCTTTCCTAATTTGTTTAATAGACTTAGACTGAATACATATCTTGCTCAACCTCACTTCCCGAAAGGAATTGCTATATGGCATAAAACATAATGAAAAGAAGCAGCATCTTTTCTTTCCTCCCCCATGCCAGTTTCTTGAGACAGAGTCTCACACTAATCCAGGCTGCTCTAGAACTCACTAATTAGCCCAAAATGACATCGAAGTCATAGTAATCCTCCTGCTGCAGCCACCTTAGTGCTGGGATAAAAGATATGTGCCACCACCCCCAGCTGAAGAATATTTACAGTTAACATTATTAGGACCTAACCAAGTGACTTCATATACCTTATAGTTTATTCCAGGTTTAAAGTTGTGAAATGAAAACTACCCACAGCCTGAGTAGCTTATCAGCTACAGTGTGAGGGGAGCTGAGCAGCACTGTCCTGCTGATGACAATCAGCACCCCACCTCTGCTTCCCAACCTGTCCATCAACACACACACAGCGAGCACACTGTGGATGCGCAAGCACAGGCCGTCTTCAGAGCTTTGCAAAGACACTGGAATCTTGGAAAACAAATGCCTCTCACTCTAACTAGTAATTTTTAGGAAAAGATACCTTCCGAGTCATCTAGAGGAAGAAACTGGAGCTGTTCCCTTGGACTGGTTTGTTGTAGTGTGGACACAGGAACAGTATCTAAATCATCCAAAAGGATATCAAATCTAGTAAATGAAGCAAGTTACTTGTGAGAAAAACATGAAGTAAGTTTTCCCAACTCACTAGAAAGCTGAGCTGGCACCACAGAAACTCATATAGTCACACTTTCTTTTATTTTATTTTTTATTTTTTTAGCTTTTTTTTTTTTTTTCCCCCGAGACAGGGTTTCTCTGTATAGCTTTGGTGCCTAAACTGGAACTAGCTCTTGTAGACCAGGCAGGCCTTGAACTCAGAGATCCACCTGCCTCTGCCTCCAAAGTGCTGGGATCAAAGGTGTGCACTACCACCACCTGGCTATCACATATTTTCTTAAAAAAAAAAAAAAAGCTACTTGTGTGGTTTTATTTTTTTTTAATTTTATTTATTATGTATACAGTGTTCTAACTGCCTGTATGCCTGCAGGTTAGAAGAGGGCGCCAGATCTCATTACAGATGGTTGTGAGCCACCATGTGGTTGCTGGGAATTGAACTCAGGACCTTTAGACGAGCAGGTGGTGCTCTTAACCACTGAGCCATCTCTCTAGCCCTACTTGTATGATTTTCAAAGCTGAAACTAAATGTCTTTCCTGACATGAAGTTCTATTTCCACACTAGAAACTTAAGGCACTGGCTACCTCATCCAATCTCTCTAAGAAGCTTCTGGAACAGCAGGAGAGGCGTTCAGAAGGGGAAAGTGAGGCTTGCTGTGCTTAGGCCACTGGGTCTAGAACCAGGAGGCGGTTCTCCCTACTTCATCACTCAGTGCTGGGCTACTTCAAGATGGGTTCACTGCATCTTGAGATAGGCACCTGCCACCCTCACACTCACCATCTGGCACCAAAATGTCCCTGTATCACACGCCTTGTCAGAAGCACAAAAACCCTTCTACATCTAAAATCTGAGGAGATGCTGAGGCAGCATTTAAGAGCTAGCAGTGGCAAGTTTCCATAGTGAAAAACTATTTTCTCCAGGCAGTTGTGGCACACGCCTTTAATTCCAGCACTTGGGAGGTAGAGGCAGCTGGATCTCTGTGAATTCAAGGCTAGCCCTGGTCTACAGAGAGAGTTCCAGGACACTAATAGCTACACTGAGAAAACACATCTCAAACAAACAAACATATTTTCACATATGATACTTTATGTTACATATGATATTCACATAAATGACCTAAGGCCACAGATCCCCAATGACAGACAACTGAAGAATCAGTAATGGCTAAAGCTATATTGATGGTTCAAAATCAATAATGAGGCCAATAGGATGGCTCAGTAGGTAAGGGTACTTGCCTCCAAACCTGATGCCCTGCGTTCAATATCTGAAACCCACATGTTGGAAGGAGAAAATCAACTTCCACAAGTTATCCTCTGACATGCACACACGCTCACACATGCAAACACACACAGTAAATCAATGAGATGTCTTGAAAACGAATAATTTTTTTAAATTTTAAAATTCAACAACTTTACAGAACTTACCGAATAGGACTGCTTTCATTTCTGCTAAGTAGATGACTAAATCCTGGGGACAGATTTTCTTTAGGGGAGCGCTTAGGACTATAAGTCACAGTCACTGGTGTTAACATAATCTCTCTTTTTGCTAAAAAGGAAAACAGAGAAGAAATATGATTTCCACCTATATTTGTGCTGGCAGTACTTATTCCTAATTTTAAAAATAATGAAATTCGCCAGGTAGTGATAGGGCAAGCCTTTAATCTCAGCACTCAAGAAGCAGAAGCAGACATATCTCTGCAAATTTAAGGTCAATCTGGTCTACAGAGCAAGTTTCAGGAAAGCCAGGGGTACACAGAGAAACCCTGTCTTGAAACACCAAAAAGAGAAAAGAAAAAGAAAAAAAATGAAGAAAGAAATTCCATAGCAAAACTTGATGGTATTGAAGAGAACACAAAGTGAAAATAAAACAACCCATAACTCTAATATCTACAAGCAATCCCTGCTGACACTTTAGTATCCAGACTATAGTCTCAGCACTGTAGCTCAAAACTGGTTCTTCAGGATTTTAGAAGTCAAGTGGAAATAAGGCATAACTGCTGTGCAGCAGTGCCTGCTCCTGAACACAGGAGATACAGACTCCCCTGAGCGGGTACGAAAGGGGACATGAAAAGTCAATGCTTAAGCTTTAAAACAGCCTGGAACTGTGGGGAGGAAAAGCTAGGGAAGACAGACATCAGATATGTAAGAAGCATCTTCTCACCTCTGTAATTTTCTCAATTAGAGCTCAAAAGAGATCAACCCGCTCTAAACTTTCAAAAGCAACTTCTTATGGTGCTAAGGACCACATCCATGCTAGGCCAGGGCTCCACCACTGAGCTACATCCCAGCCCTTTCTGCTTTTTATTTTAAGTCAGGGTCTTGCAAAGCTGCAGGCTAGCCTTGAATTCACACAGTAGATCAGGCAGGCCTTGATCCTTGATCCTTAGCCTCCCAGACAGCTGGGATGACAAACCTCCACCACAAGCCTGGCATAAAATGAGTTATCTGTACTCAGACAATCTTATTCTCTGGTTGTTCTCAGGGACCCTGTACTCAGCATCCTTTGTTGGGGCAGAAAGCCAACTGAAAAGCCACTCCCCCCAGCCCAAAGCACACACATCTCTTACTTGGAGTGTTGGCTTTACGACTGGAGGGTGGGAGAGACGACGATCTTTGTGAAGCTGAACTCTGTCTCTTTGGTCTCTGCTGGGCACATTTCTCTGGGGAACAGCCTGTATTGACTAAAGGTTCAGTTTGCCGAGGATTCACTAATTCTGTATCAGAGAAACACAAAAAAATAAGGCAGACCTGGTTTCCACCATCTGCTCTGTCACAGCTGTCACCCTACAAGGCCCTCCACTGAGTGCACGCTCAAAGTGCGTCTTCTGTCTAGGCTGTAATAATAGGGTCTGCACATGTCCCGCACTGTGACGGCAGCAGTGCTGGGAAGGAGGCTTCCTGTCACAGCTGCACTCAGGCGAGTGCTCAGAGAACGCATCTTTAGGAAGCAGGGTACTAACTTATTTATTAGGAGACCCGCTGTAGGGTGCAGCACCACAGATTTGAAGGTGTGCCTGGGAGGTCTGAGAAGCAAGCATGACAGGAAGTAGAGGACCAAGGGAGCAAGGCACAGTGGTCAACACCTGTCAGCCCAGCACTGGGGAGTGGAGGCAGATCAGAAATCAAGGTCACCCTCAGAAACATAGTAAGTTCCAGGCTATGTGAAATCTTGTCTCAGAGAGAGAGTGAAGGGCAAAGAGAAAAAGCTGTGGGGTGAAGAGATAGGGATAGAGGACAGAAACAGAGAGAAGCACCTAGACCTGGGGGAAAGAATACCTTGAAAGAAATTCCTCTTACTCTCTAGAGATGCTCAGTAACCAGGAAAAAGAAGGAAGATAGGAAAAAAATGTGGTTTTTCTCTATTTTTGACACTCTGGATCCTGCTGCCTCAGCCTCTGAATGCTGGGACAATCCCCCCGCCCCCCAGCCATCTTACTCCTTGTTTTATGAATATCAGATGACTGCCACAATTTCCCAACACGTGCAAGTTAGACAAACAGATGTAGACAAACTCACTCTGTAGCCCAGGCAGGCTGTGATTTCAATTCCCCTACTTAGCAGATAGAAGTGGGATGATATGCCTCCACAGCCCAGCTCACATGAACCTTATTTTCCTTATTATTTTTAGTTATATGCAGGTGTGTATATCGGCATTTGGGTATGTGCACATGAATGCAGGTGCCTACAGATGCTAGAGGCATCAGATCCCCTGGAACCGGAGTTAACAATTGTAAGCTACCATGTAGATGCTAGAAACTGAACCCATGTCCTCTGCAAAAACAAGTGCAGCTAACCACTGAGCCATCTCATTAGGCCTTTTAAATAATCAAATGCAATATGCAGTTCGCTTCATATGAAAGGTACATGATATGCCAGGACAAAGATAAATTATTATTAAGGATCAGTTATCTATGAAATGGGGTTGGATCAGTATCATAAATCAGGACTTAATTTCACTACCTGAGAATTTTGTCTTATTTTTTGAAGCAGGTTCTCACTATGGAACATGTAGACCAGGCTAGCCTCAAGCTCCTACCTCTGCCTCTGTTGGGATTAAAGACACGCACTGCCTTGCTTGGCTGAAAATTTAATTTTAAAGACTATAACATAAATTAAGGAAAACGAGCCAGATGGAGGAGGTGCACACCTTTAATCAGGGCACTCAGGAGGCAGAGATAGGCCTATGAGTTTGAGACCAGTCTGATCTATAGAGTTATTTCCAGGACAGCCAGAGCTGTTACTCAGAGAAATCCTGTCCCAAAACACAAAACAAACAAACGGAAAGAAAAAAAGAAAAAAAGAAAGGAAGGAAGGAAGGAAGGAAGGAAGGAAGGAAGGAAGGAAGGAAGGAGAAAGATTTTTAAAAATTAAGGAAAAGGGCAGATACCTCTTCCAATATCAAATAAGGAACAAAATACTACTTAGAGGGGTTAGAAAGATGGCCCATCAGAAGTATGTACTGCTCTTGTAGAGGGCTTGGGTTCGGTTCTCAACATCCACACAGAGGCTCACAAACATTCATAACCCCAGGTCCAGAGGATCTGATACCTCCATGGGTACCAGGTTTACACAAGCACATTCAAACATTCAGGCAAAACACTCATAGATGTAAAATAAAATCAATGAATCTTAAAATTAAAAAGAAAATACTTACTACTTGATGTATCCTCTTTCTCTGTCTGTGTCCCCCAATTCTTAAATATTCTTTCATCATCAAGTTCCTTTAAAGCTTTCACGATCGGTGCGTCTGGAGTATCCCTCTGCTTTTTAATCAATAAGCTTGAAGGTGAACATCCAAGGGAAGAGTCCTTTTCTGGAGGAGAATTGTATCTAAAACAGTAGCTGCAATTTTAACTGCTGTGGGCTGAACATTTGCATGTCCCTATCCCATAATGTACAGATAACAGCCTAACCTTAGCTGGAAGCATTTGGAATTGGGGGCCTTTAAAAAGAAATGAAGATCAGATAGGTCATAAGGAGGAGCCCCCACAATGGGCTGGAAGGTCCTCATGAAAAGAGGGAGGGAGTCAGGCCTGATGGCACACACAGGCCTGCAACCCCAGCATTCAGGAGGCTGAAGCACGAGGATGGTTAAGATTTTGAGAGTACACAGTTGAGCTTGCTATGGTCAAGAGTGACAGGATTATCCCACTGTCCTAACAAGGCTGCACTATGCCCCTGGGCATACAGAGAAGTACTGCAGAGCCTATGAAGGTAAAACATCCTTAAAAAAAAAAAAAAAAAGCATTAGCCTCTCAGGGATGGGAAGATGGATTCACTGCTACAAGTGCTTTCTATGCAAACAAACAAAATGCCTAAACCAGGTTGAAGTTAAAATAGTAAAGAATTAATGGTCCTAGAATTCCAGCACGGAGTGGGGGTGAGGTGAAAAGCGGAAGATCAGGAGTTCGACCAAGGCATCCTGTCTACCCTCACAGCTGAGCTTTGCTGGAAGACAGTCACCCAGCTGCATCTACTCATCAACACTATCTAGAATGGGTACTCCCTATCCACAGTGGGGAAGCCCTACTTCTGAAAGACAGTTGAGTTGCCCACTCTCCTAATCCAGGAAGAACCTCAGGTCCATCTTCAAAGAGAAGACAGAAACCCCAGAACAACTGTTTCTTGACCCCGCCCCCTCCACACAGCCCAACTTTTGACTAGTTCCTTTGCGGGAGACAGTTCTGTCTCTATGAAAGCACTCCTCAACCGACCTCAGCGGTTCTCTCACCCAGGAACACGGGATTCCTCCAGCTGATTATCTGTCTTCCTAGTGTCCAGAGGCTGCCCAGTAAAAATGGAATACTCTGCTCCTGGAATCAGCCACTTCCTCCTACTGACATCTGAGGTCGCCAGTGTGCTGTAAGGAAAGGAAACATTCCATGGCATCACAAAGTTTGCACTTCAATTTTAAGAAAATTTATGTATATAAAACGTTGGTGGATGTTTTATCTGTGCATATGTGTGTTGGTACCCAACAATGTCAAAACAGGGCATTAGATGCCCTGGGACTGGATTTAGAGGTAACTATGAGCCACCATATAGGTGCTGGGAGTTGAATTCAGGTCTTCTGGAAGAGCAACTAGTGCTTTTAACCACAGAGCCATCTTTCCAACCCCCCACCCTTGCACTTCAACTTAGAATGTTTATATCAGAACAACCCATTCCCAAGTTTGACTTACATATTTGCACAGTGACTTAGAAACCACATATGGGCAACCTATACTTGAAAAAAATGAATCTTATTTTAAAGGTTTCTGGCTGTCTTGGAACTCACTTTATAAAACCAGGCTGGCCTTGAATTCAGGGATCCATTTGTCACTGCCTCCTGAGTGCTGGGTTTAAAGGCACACAACCTCCCTCGATTTTCACTTTAACCCCAGGTCACTCTTATCCTTAAAAAAGATCTCTTGGTGAGCTGGGACCTGTCCCAGGGCCTTGTGTACTGTTAAGCAGGCTCTTGGCCACAGCTACACCCCAGGCAGGCCCTTCCCTCAATTTTTAAATGAAGAAACATTTTGAACATTCTTAGAAAATCACAGAAAATACAATGAGCACCCACCTACCTACTCTCGGTTTTAACAGATGCTTAGATCTTGGCCATATTTGTTTTTAATTGTGAGACATAACATTGTATACATATGTATAGCTGCGTTTGTTAAACAAGGGCACACTATCCACACCCTTCAATACGTCTTCTCTGCAACAGCATGTTCATGATTTATTCACGTTTGCATGCAGAGCTGTCAGTCATTCCTCCTGTCTGATTGTGTCTCCTGATGGTAGATGCTGTTTCAACACCACTACAATTAACATGTGGAAGAAGTGACCTAAATTTCTAAAAACACAGCCATAAAATGTGGGGTGCAGCCATCACCTTCAGTCTTCTGACAAATCATCCTCTAGACAAGCGCTATCGCCTGCAGTCAGCCATTGGTGTCTGGGTTCCTTTCTTCACCTTTGCCAAACTTTGGAACAAATTAAGTCTGGCCTGTCTGATAATGGGAATGGTACATACTATTACTTTAATTGGCATTTTCCTGGTTTCTTAGGACAATAAGCATCTTTTCACTGCTATTGGCTGTTTTCTGTTTCTGTGCAGCTTCACATCCCGTCACCATTTCTCTGTGGAGGAAATTGTCTCTTTCTTACTGAGTTGTGAGAGATATCTTGTATTCTGAATACTCATCCTTTATTTTTTTTAAATATTTATTTATTTATTATGTATACAATATTCTGTCTGCATGTATGCCTGCAGGCCAGAAGAGGGCACCAGACCCCATTATAGATGGTTGTGAGCCACCATGTGGTTGCTGGGAAATGAACTCAGAACCTTTGGAAGAGGAGGCAATACTCTTAACCTCTGAGCCATCTCTCCAGCCCTCATCCTTTATTTTTCTTGTTCACTAACATAAAAGTCACACACAGGCACAGACACACATACGAACGAGCCAGTGAGATGGCTCAGTAGATTTTGTTGTAATATTTTCAGGTTACTTTGCAAATAACAGAAGAAACACGGCTTAACCTGGAAAGCATGCCAACTTGACTTGGTATAGACTTAAAAGAACATGTGGTTATCTTATAATGTGGAAGGATCATTGACATACAAAGACCCTAGTAAACTGTATTTCCCAAATAAATGCTTATGGATTTTCTTTTTCAGAAATTTACTTTGTTTATAGATGTATGTATTGGGGAGGGTATGCACATGCCATGGAGCACTTGGGAAGCTCAAAGTACAACTTGCAGGAGTCGGTTTTCTCCTTCCACCATGTGGGTCTGGGGTTCAAATTCATTTCAGGCTTGGCGGTAAGGGCCTTTACCCACTGAACCATCTTGCCGACCCCAGCCACCAGCACTTTGGAAAGAAAAATAGTATTCTATTTCTTCCTCAACCCGTTTTTTACTGTTCTATATCATACTCTTAAAATTAATACAAATAGACAGTCCAGATGAGACATTTGTAACACCTTTTTCTACAAAAGGCAAAAGAAAAAAATATTATTCTAGGTTTTACAGGACAAACAATATTCATCACCAACTACTCAACTTCATTGTTGTCATGCAAAAGCTGGAAGATGATATGTAAATGAATCAGTTTTTTCTTCCTTACATCAACATCAAAATATAGATAGCCCTTTAGCCCTAGCTGACCTAGAACTCATGATATAGATCAGGCTGGCCTTGAATTCAGAGATCTGCCTGTCTCTGCCTCCTGAGTGCTAGGATTAAAGACATGCCCCAAATATTCTTTTTCTTTTTTCTTCTTTTTTTTTTTATTTTGATTTTTCGAGACAGGGTTTCTCTGTGTAACAGCCCTAGATGTCCTGGAACTAGCTCTGCAGACCAGGCTGGACTTGAACTCACAGACATTCGCCTGCCTCTACCTCCCAAGTGCCGGGATTAAAGGTATGCGCCACCACCACCCCCTGGTTCCCAAATATTTCTTATGCATGTATGTATATTCACATGCCAAAGGACAACCTCAGATGTCATCCTCAAAAAGGCTGTTCACCTCCTTTGAGACAGGGCCTTTCATTGCCTTGGAATTCAATTAGGTTAGAGTGACAGCCAGCGAGTACCAGGAATCCTCCTATCTCCAACTTTCCAGTGCTAGAATTAAGAGACACTATCACATCTGGCATTTTAAAATTTTATTATTTTATTTTATATGCATGAGTATTTTGTCTGCCTGTATGTCTATGTACCATATGCATGCCTGAGAAAAGGGCGTCAGCTCTCCTAGAACTGAAATTACAGACCATTGTGAACCGTCATGTGGATGCCCAGGTCCTCTGAAGGAGATGCCAGTGCTCTTAACTGCTGAGCCCTCTCTCCAGCCCCACACCTAGCATTTTCGTTTTTGTTTTTGCTTTGTTTTTTGAGACAGGGTTTCCTCTATGGTTTTGGAGCCTGTCCTGGAACTAGCTCTTGTAGACCAGGCTGGTCTCGAACTCACAGAGATCCGCCTGCCTCTGCCTCCTGAGTGCTAGGATTAAAGGCATGCGCCACCACCGCCCAGTGACACACCTAGCATTTTCATGTGGGCTCTGGGGCTCGTACTCAGGCCCTTCAGCTTGTAAAGTAAGTGTTTTACCAGCTGAGCCACACAAGTCCCAGTCCTGACCAAATACTTCAAATTCCTCAGTCATACACATCACAAAACATGATGGTGTAGCCTGGCTTTGGCCTAAAGGCTACAGTCTGCCAAGCCTTCCTTTCACACACGGCCACCCCGAATAAGCATATCACAACATATGCACTTCCAGCTGCTCGATGTGCAGGCTGTCTTCAACACACCTCAAACACTTCTCTCACTATCCACACTCTCCTGAGTCAAAGAAGCCCCCAGCTTGTGAATCCAAGAGGCCTTTTCAGTCCTTGCTCTAACTGATGGCTGCTTCAATTTCCCTCCTCACTTCCAGAAGCAGTTTCACAGGCTCCTTTGCCAAACTCTTCTACCCAGCACAGAAGTAGGGTTCCTGGGAGCTCTGTCCTGTGCCCACTCCCACTGACACTCAATTCCTATCAATCCTGTAGCTGTAAGCATCACTGGCGAATAACTGACTCCAACATTGTACCTCCAACTTAGGAGTTTGGATCTCCAAGCCTAAGTTTACTATTGCCCATTTGATTTCTGCTTCAAGTCCGTGGGAATCCCAAGCAAAAATTCCCATGCCAGGCACTCTGATCTTGTCTTCAGTTCAACACATGGCAGCCTTTGGTGTTCTCGATCTCTTGCCTCACCAGCCAAGACACAACAATGTTCTGTGGATTACACCTCCAAAACCTTTCAAATTCTTTTTTCTTGTAATTAAAAATATTATTCTTATTACACTTACTTATTTTGTGTGTGCACAGACATGCCGCGGTGCATGTGTAGAAGTGATAGGACAATTTCTGAAGTTGGCTCTCTTCCACCATGAGGATGTACACTGAGCTGCCTCCCTGGCCTCATTCTTACAGATCCAGATACCTAGAAACCTGCTCTCCTCGCACTGAAATGGCCTAACTCATCTACTGTTTCCATGCTCTCCTGTTTCATCTCTTTTTTTCATGGAAAGAATTTTAAAAAAGCAAAAGTCAGATGGCATTGTTTTCTAATAAAAATCTTCAGGGGACAAGATCACGGCTCGGTACATAAGGTACTTACCTCAAAAGACTAATGGCCTGGGTTTGAGCCGTGGAGTCCATGTAAAGGTAGAAACAGAGAACTGCTTCCAGAAAGTTATCCTCTAGCCTCCATGTAAACAATGGCAAATGGACACAACACACACACACAAATAATATAGATCTTTAAAATCCTTGTCAGACACAATGGCACATGCCTTTAATTCCAGCACTCAGGATAAAGAAGTAGAAGGACCAGGTTGAGGCCAGCAGCCAACTCTATATAGTAAGTTCTAGGATAGCCAGGACTACACAGACAGACCCTAACCCCAAAAATCTAAAGTAAAATAAAAACCTTTGAGAGGATTCTCAATGGACTTAGGGTAAAATCCAAATGCCTGACGGTGATTAGAAAGTTCACGGAGGCTGCATAACTTCCTGCTGCGGCTGTCTAAGCCGTGCATCACGGCATAAATATCAACGTCCCCTACAGGCTCATGTGCTTTCACAGCTGGTGCTGAGATGGTGGCACTGTTTGGGAGATTATGGAACCTCAGGGGTATGGGGCCTAGCTGGTGGGAGAGATCACTGGGGTCAGGCCTTTGAAGGCCATACACTCACTCTGCCTCCTGCCTGTAACAATATGAATGAACAGAACCCACAAAATCCTGGCACCTCACATTCCAACCCACTGAGAGACTCCCCTCCTACCCAACCTTATGCCTCTTCTTTTGCTTATTCTCATAAATTCAGTTTTTACCTTTGGTTTGGTTTGGTTTATGTTTTTGTTTGAGACAAGGTGTTACATAGCCTAGGCTTGGTATCAATTGGATGACCCTGAACTGCTAATCTTCCTATATCCACCTCCCAAGAGCTAGGCCTGCAAGTGCATATACCACCACATCTACTGCTTTAAGACTTAGTAATTTTTAAATTGTGAGGTGGGTACACATGCATGTCTTGGCTCACATGTGGAAGTCAGAAGGCAACTTTTAGGAGTTGGTTCTTTCCTTCTACCATGTGGGTTTAAGCTCAGGTCATCATACTTTGTGGCAATTGTCTTTACCTGCTGAGACAAATCGTAGGTTTCTTTCCTTTGTGTGTGTGTGTGTGTGTGTGTGTGTGTGTGTGTGTGAAGCAGAAACCATAAAACAAACCAAGGCTGCGTCCCACACTTGAGGGTTTTCTTCATTTTTCTTTCTTTTCCTTTCTTCTTTGCTTCCTCTTCTTTTTTCTTTTTTTTCTTTTTTCTGAGACAAGGTCTCTTATGTAACTCTGTCTGTCTTGGAACTCACTATGTAGACCAGGCTGGCCTTGAATTCACAGAGACCCACCTGCCTCTGCCACCCAAGTACACCACTACTCCCAACTATTTCTCTTCTTTTCAAAGATCTGGGCGGCAGGGCGATGTCTTCTACACCCATCAGAAAAAAATGATGAGGTTCAGGTTGTAGGAGGACACTACAAAGGGCAGCAGATTAGCAAATCAGTCGAGTTTATAAAAAAAAAATATGCTATTCACATTGATGTTTGCTGTTTTGTTTTAGAAACAGGGTCTCTCTATGTAGCCCTGGCTGGAATGAAACGTGCTATGCAGACTAGCCTCAAACTCAAAGAGATCAATCTGCTTCTGCCTCTAAATACTGAGATTAAAGAGGCATATGCCACCATGCCCGGCTGTCATCCACATTGAAATGGGACAGTGGAGAGTAGGTTAATGGCACAATTGTCCATATGGGCATTTACCTCAGCAAAGAACACATAAAGATTCTGGAATGGAGAGCCAAATCTCACCAAGCAGGAAAATGATGGAAAGCAAATATAAGGAAGAAACACTTGAAAAGATATAGAAATAAAATAATCTCATCTATAACTCTCATTAAAAATGGCTTAAGGCTGGAGAGAAGGTTCAGAGAATAAAGGTGCTCATAGATCATTCACAGGGACTTAGGTTTAGCTCCTAGGACCCATGTCAGGTGGCTCACAGCTTCCAGGAACTCTAACTCCAGGAACCTGTCACCTGCTTTTGGACTCAAGTTCATATACCCGCACAGACACATACTTAAAAACAATAGAAATAAATCTTTTTTAAAAGTTGCCATGGGGCTGGAGAGGTGGCTCAGAGGTTAAGAGGTCCTGAGTGGCTCACAACCATCTAAAATGAGGTCTGGTGCCCTCTTCTGGCCAGCAGGCATACACAGACAGAATATTGTATACATAATAAATAAATAAATATATTAAAAAAAAGTTGCCTACATGGAAAAAGAAGGTATTTTAAAAAGTAAGAGATGTAGAGAGCACTGGAGACACAGCATCAAGAACACAATGCCCACGTAACTCTGTGCTTTTCTAAGCCTTGAAACTGCTTCTTTGTAGGGTTCTGAATGACATCCAGCGATTGTGACTTTAATGCACATCTATGACCATAAGGATATTTAGCTCTGGCTTCCTAATTAACAGAGGGCCTCATTAGAGGCACGCACTATCCTTGTTGCAAGGGCACTATATGAAGTCACTTACTTGGCCCGGGATGGCCTCGTGGGACCTTTAGCGCTGTGACGAAGACTCAACATATTCTCATGCTCTACTTGTTTCACCTGAGCTTCGAGTTTTGAGATCATCCTAGATCAAAAACAGTAAGACAAACACATTACCACAGATTGAAAACGGAGCTAAACTACCAGGTGTTACTTAATTGTCTCTCTTTAGGAAGGCAATAATAGCCTGCTCTCCAGAAACTTCCTTCACAGTAAAATGGCACCATTAAACTTTGAAAAGCTAAAAGAAAGAAAAGGGTGTGGGGGACAGGGGAATAAGCAGGACAGCAAGGACACTCGCCTCTGCGAAGCCACATTGCCTAGACTATCACAAAGGAAGGAAGGATAAGCAGGCATCTATGAAGTATGCAGGACAGAAATTAAATTTAAAAATCAGCATCCTAAAAAAAAAATCAGCATCCTAATTTTGATAAGAGGCAAAAGCTAGACTATTCCTAATAACTCTCACCCCACAAATGAGGCAGCAATTCATCTCATTTGTTCCATGTTCAGAAATAAAAGCCTCCCTTCGATTCTCTCCACAGAAGATAACTACCCCAAACAACTGTTTCCAATTAGCATGGCCTTACTTTTCTTTGAATGTATTAATTTGATTCATTTATTTCAGTTAGTGTGTGAGTGTGCTGGAGTATGTGAGTATAAACTAGTCACTGTGGGTATGTGGAAGTCAGAGGCCAACTCTCAGGAGTCAGTTCTCTCCTGCTACCTTGTGGGATCTGGGGCTTGAACTCAAGTTGTCGGGTATGTATACAAGTGCTCATCTGCGCCTCTTTCCTTGCTTTTAAATTTGTGTACAGGGGCCAGCAAAAGGGACTTCCACTAAGCTTGAGAAGGAACGGCTCTAACATGACAGGTAATCCTTCCAACATGGCAGGCAGTTAGCACATCTAGACACTTCACTATTCTGCTCTGTGTAAATCCTTCACATTGCAGTACATTTCTAAACTTAGGGTATTATTTGATCCAAACGTAACTATTAAAAATATGTGTGGAAACTAATATATATATGTTACTTTTTTAAAAAAAATTAGTATTAATAATGTGTATGGATACATGCCTTTGTGTAAGCATGTGCCATGGGTGCAGGGACAGAGGCTAAGAGAGGAAGCTGAATTCCCTGGAGCTGGAGTTACAGGAGGTTGTGATGCACCTTACAAGGGTGCTATAAACTGAACTCATGTGCTCTGGAAGAGTGCAGTGTGCTCTTAATCACTGAGCCATCTCTCCAGTCCAAATTAAGATATTTATAATCATTTGCAATATAGATCATTTATGATTGTTGCTACCTATTCAAGATCATTAAGTCTCTAAACCAGGTATTTTTTGTTGTTTTAGTTTGGTTTTCAAGAAAGGCTTTCTCTGTGTAGCCCTGACTGGCTTCAAACTCACTGAGATCCACTTGCCTCTGCCTCCTGAGTGCTAGGATTAAAGACATGTGTCACTACACCTGATCCAAGCCAAGTCTTTTAGGAAGTGGATTCCCACAAACATATTGAGAATTTCATTTTCTTTCGGAGTGCAAGAGAAACACAATGAAACAGACTGCTTCTTCCAATTCCTTCTAGAAGTTACCATTCAGACTTCTCATTATGCCCCCCCAAAAGCATGATGTCTGGAGAAATGCATGCACCTGACTCAACCTCTGTAGTGATATTTCATTTATATTTTAATAAATAAAGCATGCCTGAAGGCCAGAACACAAAACAGTCACACTAGTCAGCCATACAGGCCAGGCAACGGTGACACACTTTTAACCCCAGTAGCCACACTAGTTTTCCATAGAGACAGAACAGTGGTGGTGCACGCCTTTAATTCCAGCACTAGAAAGGAATATAAGGCAGGTTAAGACATGAACTCGCTCTCTTTCTTTCAGTCTGAAGATTTCATAGAGGTAAGAGCTCTCTAGTGGCTTAATGTCTGCTTTTCTGATCTTCAGGTTGAACTCAAATATCTGTCTCTGGGTTTTAATTATTCATGCTACATATGGTGCCCAACGTTTAGGGTACAAATTTCTGAAAAAGCCATTTGCCTGTCACTTTTTAGTCATTGGTACAAGCCAGAGCTGTATGTTTCAGTCCCACCCAGCTAGGCTTTCTTTTCTTTTTTCCCCAAGAATTTGAGAGATTATAGATGTTCCTGTTGTATATGTAGCTTCTCTGAAATAGTCTCCAGCTAACACCCAAACTCCAGAAGTATCTGGGCTCCAGATGCCACAGGAATCACCAGCCCTACACTGGCTGGTTCTGCCTTCAGGAAACCTCCCTCCACATGTGCTTCCCCCTGCTCCAATGTTTTTTCAGACAGCCGGCTCACTCGCTTGCTTTCTCTCTCCTCTCCACCCCCCTTCTCTCTGTGTCTCTCTCCCTACCACTCTCTACCATGGGTTGCAGGCTCTCCCAGAACCCCTTCTCAGGCAGCTCCCAAACTAGGTAGCTGTCTTGAAATCCACTCAGACTCTTACTGTTTTACGCGGCAGCAACAAGCCTCACATCTTCATCAGCATCACTGGTACATTTAGAAAGATAATTAGGATTTTTCTTTGTTTGTTTGTTTTGAGACAGGGTTTCTCTATGTAACTTTGGTGCCTGTCCTGGAACTTGCTCTTGTAGACCAGACTGGCCTCGAACTCACAGAGATCTGCCTGCCTCTGCCTTCCAAGCTGGGATTAAAGGCATGCGCCACCACTGCCCAACTGACAATTGGGAATTCTTAAAGAGAATGGTTAAAAGAGGTTTCTTCCCACATTAAAAAATGGAAAAAAAATATTACAATGGAGGGATTTATGTCTCTGTAAGATAATATGCTAGACAGTTTGAAACCAGAACAGTTAAATGGAGAGGAGATCTAATTTAGATGGAATTTATGTAATTTCAATTGTAAACATTATCAGCTTTATCATTTTTGTTGTATCACTAAAGAAGCTGGTTAATCTGAGGGCCTTCGAAAAACTTAATAAAACAGATCCCAGAGATATTCAAATCCAGACAGAGGAATTTAATGGAAAACCAATTTCAGTGTTACATTTTAAGAACAGAGAGGAACATCCTAAGGTTTTCAAACCAACTTTAATACTTCCAGTAACTTTACAGGAATTGCCAAATGATAGAAAGTAAGAGCTGCATGGACTCCTGTGCCAATGTGAGATTTAAGGAGACTCAAGGAAGCAACAGTCTCATGTGGCATGCATTCATCTTTTGTGAAGCAAATGTTAAACTCATGGTCAGTTTGTAATAGAATTATCCCTAAAGACTGAAAAGAATTGGTTAAACATGTTTTAGAGCCTGGTCCACAATAATAATGGCATACCTGGTTCAGAGAAGAGGCCAAGAATATTGAACAGAGTAAAGCTAGAGGTATGGAAATCTCCAAAGATCAAATTCTTGAAGAAGGAAACTATGCTACTGTAGAAAGACAATCTCTCAATGATGGTTACATGGTGGCTTTGTGCCATGTAGCAGTTTTGAATGCCTGGGACAGAATTGAAGAAGCAGAAAAAGACTGAGTCATTTACTCAAGTCACTCATAGTCCCAAAGAAACCTTCACAGATTTCTTATAAAGATTGACATCAGCAGCAAATAGAATAATACCTAATTCAGAAGCTAGACAAATAATAATTGAATCTCTGGCTTTTGAAAATGCCAATTGTCTATACAAAAAGATAATTAGGCCACTGAAGGCAAGACCAGCACCTCTGGAGAAATGGATTCAAGATACAATTAATATTAAATCTCATGAACATGATGATACATGGACAGGAAAGGTGATTTCTAGAGATTTGAGGAAAAATAGAAATGTCAAGTGTTATAATTATGGCACACAAAGTCACCATAAAAGGGACTGTAGACAGGATGTTCCTAGAAACAATGTTTTTTCAAAGAATAAACCATTTAGAAGGCCCCTCCCTTGTGGATTATGCAGAAGGTGTGGCAAAGGTAGGCACTGAACTAATGAATGTAGGTCAAGGAACATTCAAGGTAATCTTTTGTTGTTGTGGAAGTTCTGTGTAGGGCGGCCTCTCACAGGCTCCCATGTCAAATACAGTTCAGTTACTTCCTGCCATTGTAGAGGAAACTCCTTGCCAGAGCAATTAAAGAACTTAATGCCTATTGTAAGAAACCATATTGCTCTGGATGATAGAACAGCTATAGAAGAGAAAACAAAATATTCAAGAGAAACCATAAAGTAAGTATTTTGGCAAACTTCTATAAGTAAACAAAGACCAAAATTAAAATTATGAATAAATAATGTTGTCGTTGAAGGTCTGATAGACACAGGTGCGGATATAAAAATAATTTCACCAGATTCTTGGCATCCAAACTGGCCTCTTCAAGATCTAAATGTTCAGTTTTGAGGGATCAGAACTTTATCTCAGGTAAAGCAGAACATGAAATGGGCTGAATGTAAGGGGCCTGAAGGTCAGAAAGGAAAATTAAAACCATATGTGGCTAACATAGCAATGAATTTGTGGGGACATAATTTGTTACAACAATGGAATATTCAGATTAACATTACCCTGATATTAGAAACAAACCATAAATTAATATATGTTTCTGGGAAAAATATTAGAAGACTTTATAAAGAACAGTCATCGACCATTCAGGTTGTACAAGAACAGGGCACAACAGCTGCTGATATTTCAAAGGCACCAACAGCCCTACCTTTAAAATGGTTGACAGAGAAACCTGTATGGGTTAAGCAATGGCCTTTAACAGTAGAGAAACAGCAGGCTTCAGAACAGCTGGTACTGGAGCAACTAGATGCTCAGCATATTGAATCTACCAGCTCTTAGAATTCTCCTGAATTTGTTGTTAAAAAGAAATCTAGAAAATGGAGAATGGTGACAGATCTAAGAGCTGTTAATAAGATGATTCAGCCAATGGGCTCTCTACAGTCTGGCATTCCTTTGCTTTCTCTATTGCCTAAAGGATGGCCCTTACAGGTATTGATTTAAAAGATTGTTTCTTCACTATACCTTACAAGAAAAATACAAAATAAAAATTGCCTTCACAGTGCCTTCTTACAATAATTCTCAGCCTGCTAACAGATATAAATGGAAGGATCTCCCACAGGAAATGTTAAATAGCACCACCCTGTGCCATTATTTAATTTGTAAGTCAGCCACTGGAAATGATTCATAAGCAATTTCCTGAATCTATAGTTTACCATTACATGGACAGCATTTTGCTATCTGATTCAATTGTAGATACTTTAGAAAAAGTGTTGGGGCTGGAGAGATGGCTCAGTGGTTAAGAGCATTGCCTGCTCTTCCAAAGGTCCTGAGTTCAGTTCCCAGCAACCACATGGTGGCTCACAACCATCTGTAATGAGGTCTGGTGCCCTCTTCTGGCTAGCTGTATACATAATAAATAAAGAAAGAAAAATTTAAAAAAAAAAAGAAAAAGTGTTTGAAGAAGTAAAGAAAATTTTGCCTTGCTGGGGATTACAAATTGCTCCTGAAAAAATACAAAGAGACAATTCTATTAATTATTTAGGCTATAAAATAGGTTTACAAAAAATTAGACCCCAAAAAGTACAAATTAGAAGAGACTGACTGCAGACTCTTAATGACTTTCAAAGATTGCTAGGAGACATTTCCCATCTATGGAGCACTATTGGAATAGGTCTTCATGACCTGATTAATTTAAACAAAACCTTAAGTAGTTCCAGGGAATTATCAGCTGAAGCTAAGAGAAAATTTGCTTTGATTGTAGAGAAATTACAGAAGGCACATATGGATTGTGTGAATCCAAATTTTAACTGCATTCTGGTCCCTCCAAATCCAATTTTAATGCTGAGGGAAGACATTAGCTTAGAATGGATCTTTTTACCACATAAACCAAGTAAAAAATTAAAAGGTCTCTGAGTTAATTCTAAAAGGAAAATTGTGACTTTGTCAATTAGCAGGAATAGACCCAGCAGAAACTATAGTGTCTTTTAATAACGATGAAATTGACAAATTACAGGAACAAAGTGAGCCCCTGGTAAAGAGCTTCTAGTAATTTTGGGGGAGAGATTAACAACAACTATCCCAAAAGCAAGAAAATTCAACTCATAAAGAGAACTAATTGAACAATTCCTTATATTGTAGGGGACACATCAATAACTGGAGCCCCTACACTCTATCCTGATACAAATCAATCAGGAAAGGAAGGTTATGAATCAGAGAATTTAAGTTAAGCCCTTACTATTCTTTACAATTCAGAATTATATGATATTCTCATGATATTAAGGGATTTTAAAGAACCTCTCAACATAGTTACCAATTTGCAATATTCAGGAGATGTTTTGCATATTGAAACCACTGAATTTATATGAAATACAGAATTGACTTCATTATTTATTCAGTTACAAGATATAACCAGGAATTGGTATCATCCCATATATATAATACACATCTGATGCCATACAGGTCTGTCAGGTCCTCTAGCACAAGGTAATACAAAAATTGATCAATTAATAATTGGAAATGTGCAGAAGGCCTCATAATTTGTTTTTAAAAAATCATGTCAATAGCAAAGATTAAAAAAAATACTTGTCCTATCACGTGACAACAAGTCAAGGAAATTATAAGGAAATGTCCTACTTGTTCATTATACAACCAAACGCTACTACCTGTAGGAAGTAACCCAAAGGATGCTGGAATGAAACCTGAAAGATGGATGTATTCTATTTTGTAGAATTTGGAAAACTAAAATACATACACCACACCACTGATAACTATTCAAGTTTTCAACGGACAACTTATAGACAATGCTCCAGCATATATCTCCAAGAAAATGAAACACCATTTTGCTTATATAAAATATATTAAAGGTATATCACACAATCCTACAGGTCAGGCAGTTATAGGAAGATCAAATCAAACTCTAAAAAAAGATATGTTAAATAAACAGAAAGGGAGGATAAATACTCCCAGAAATAGATTGTATAATGCTTTGAATTCTCTAAATGCTAATGAGGAAACAAACAATAGCCACGGAGAGACATTGTATAGTAGAAAAATCTATGGAAGGAAATCTGCCTATATACTTTAAAGATGTACTGACCTCAGAATGGAAACCAGGACACGTGTTATGTTGGGGAAGAGGTTTTGCTTTTGATTCCCCAGGAGAAAAATCATGGATAACATGAAAATTGATAAAGATTCAATTTGAACAAGAGACACCTCTTAATTAGAAGAGATGATAGTCCATCAAACAACATGGCCATTTAATCTAATCTAACATATAAAACAAATGAATTTCATTTGAACAGATATAATTGCCAAAATAGAATCTCCGCAAAATTAGGGTTAGGGAAAGATTTTCTTTTCTTTTCTTTTTTTTTTTAAATATTTATTTATTTATTTATTTATTTATTATGTATACAATATTCTGTTTTGCATGGATGCCTGCAGGCCAGAAGAGGGCACCAGACCTCATTACAGATGGTTGTGAGCCACCATGTGGTTGCTGGGAATTGAACTCAGGACCTTTGGAAGAGCAGGCAATGCTCTTAACCTCTGAGCCATCTCTCCAGCCCCCGGGAAAGATTTTCTTTTTGTCTTTTCAGGGAATGAAGACAACCAGCTAAGGAGTTCAAAGACCACTGGACAAATGAGACATCTGAAGAAAAGGGACAAATCATCCCAAAAAAAAAATGTCTGAAGAAAAAGGCCTATTGATATATCACATTTTCAACAGAATAATATTTTATAAATCTTCCCAATTGTTTGTTGCTGATGTTCTCTACAGATATATAATACAAATGTTCTTTGGAGTTGGAGGGTGGCTCTCTCCTTCCCTAAACCCAAGCAGGCTTATTAAAGTGAAATCTAAAATCTCTGTCTAATGTCCGAAGAACCACCTGATATGGGAGAGAAGAAAAACAAATAATTTAAGGAATATTTTATTGCCACTAATCTCATAATCGTTTGGTTTTTATATTGACTCTTTGAGGTATAAATTTTGTAAGATTAATACATATATTCTAAAATTTTTGTCATGATATTAACGGTCATATAGAGTACTAACCAATTCTAGAAAAATGTTTCATCTGCCTTCCTGTACATGATTTCAGGTTTGAGTCTCTATCAGTTTTCAACAGTGAACCATAAACATGCCTAACAGCGACCTTTGAAATCTCTAAAACGAGGATGGAGCCCCACAATGACAATTCCTCCAGGACTATGATAACACCACTAAGCTAAAAAAGACCACCTAAAGATCAGCTTTGGACTACAAACTTTCAGAATAATTTCAAGATGGATAGCTGAGACAATACAACCTAACAGACTACTCTGAGCACTGCATGTTCTCATTACACACAGACTAGACAAGAAATGATACAGCCACCTCTCTCAGACTTGAACAATGGACACAAATTTTTCTTTTCAGGATCCCATAAAGATGCTGTCACCACCATACAGCAGGAAGTAAATTTAAGAATACGATGTCTACATTCCCAAGAGGTGGGGTGGGTAGTTTTTGTCATCAGTGGGTTACAGGTATTTGTCATTGTTTAAGGGGATTGGTTACAAGTTGCTATTGGTAATAGGAGCAGGGGGAAAAAGCTAAACAAAGGAAATTAAATTCAAGGTTCTTGTTTGAAAGAAAGGGGAGGCCGGGCGGTGGTGGCGCACACCTTTAATCCCAGCACTCGGGAGGCAGAGGCAGGCGGATCTCTGTGAGTTTGAGGCCTGCTTGGTCTATAAGAGCTAGTTCCAGAACAGGTTCCAAAGCTACAGAGAAACCCTGTCTCGAAAAACAAACAAACAAAAACAAAAACAAAACAAAACCTCTGAGATTCCATCTTACACCTGTAAGAATGGAAGATCAAAAACACTAATGACAACTTATGCTGAAGAGGTTATGGGTACCCTCTTTATTGCTAGTGAGAGTGCAAACTCGTATAGCCACTTTGGAAATCAGTATGGCAATTTCTCAGAAAATTAGGAAACAATCTACCTCAAGACCCAGCAGGACCACTTTTGGGTATATGCCCAAAGGATGCTCAATCATACCACAAGAACATGTGCTTAACTATGTTCATATAGCATTGCATGTCACAGCCAGAACCTAGAAACAACCTAAATGCCTCTCGACCGAAGAATGGATAAGGAAAATGTGGTATATTTACACAATGGAGTACTACACAGCAGAAAAAATTAACATATTGAAATTTGCAGGCAAATGGATAGAGCTAGAAAACATCATATTGAGTGAGGTAACACAGATCCAGAAAGACAATTATCATATATACTCACTGATAAGTGGCTTTTAGACATAAAGCAAGGAAAACAAGCCTACAATTCACAATCACAGAGAACTCAGTCTGAAGATTTCATAGAGGTAAGAACTCTCTAGTGGTTTTCTGCTTTGCTTTTCTGATCTTCAGCTTGAACCCTAATATCTGTCTCTGGGTTTTTATTATTCATGCTACAAACCACCAATATATTCTAATCACGTAAGTATCTCCTGAGCTAATGTATTTCCATGTAATGTATTTCCATGTCCAAGGATTAGGATAAAACTAGCTGTCAATTTTAAACACCCTCAGGAGAGAGTTTATTTCCCTCATTGTCAATACAAACACAAAGGACGATTAGCAGCATATTTTATTATTGCAGTAAGAATTTACACAGAACAACAAAAAGGACATTTACCTTTTCAAATCAGAAATCTGAGTGTGTGCATCAAGCAGTTTGTTCTCAGTTGTGTTTAATGTATCCTAAGGGGAGAAAAAATTTCTGTAACTAAAGATAAGCATGCAGATAGAAACTTTTACTTCAAAGTGTGTAATAGAGAGCTAATGTAAGGCTAAACAACCAGCGGTCAATTACCATGAAACTCAGCAAGGACGGCATCAGTGTGGAACCAATCCAGGCAACTCAAGGGGGAAGCGATAGCATAAACACTGGCCTATTCCCGGGAGTCTAACAGACGCAACCCATTGCCTGCTTAACTAGAAGCAACCCCACATTAAGATGGATCTATTTTAGCTACGCCCGTGACTGAAGGCTTAGCAGAATGGCACAACAAAAACCTGAAGTGGTGTTTCAGACACTGTGGTTTATTTCTGAACCCAGTCTCAGCTGTAGCTTTTCACTAACCTTACAGGTCTTTTCACTAACCTTACAAACCCATAATCTCCTCCTGCATGCAGCAGACTGGCTAGAACCACTTCCTGCCTACTCACTGTGGTGCTTCACTAAGTTCAGATATACAACTGCAAACAGTGTGTCAGCTACCATTTCAGACACAGAAGGCAAATTCTTACTACTCCATTAAAGAATAATGCTTTGAAAATGTTAACTTTATATGTACAGGGATTAGAACCTATGCATTACTTAAATTCTTCTGCCTAGTTTCATCTCAACTCACATCAAATATAACAACCATTCAATAATATTTAGCAAATTAGCAAATCTCACAAAGGTTCAGCCAAGTAGGGCAGACATCTGAAAATAAAGGTATTAACGCAGGAAGGGTAAACACATGGACTGGTTCAAACTGCTCCAGATGGAGAGATGGGGAAGGTCAGGTCTTTGCCTATTACCTTTACACGCCCGTGCTCTTTTCCGAGGGACTCGTACTCTCCTAAGAGCTGCAAAGAAAACAGAGAGTTGTACCACAGAACTGAACAGGTAACAAAGGAACTGCAGCGTCAGGAAAGGAAGGACAACACAGAACCAGTGGTTCTGGAAAAAGGAATGGGACAATCCCTGATAAAATGTTTGAAGACACTTTAAGTATGAAACAATTTTAAAGGTAAAACAGAGGGCTAGAGAGATGGCTTAGCGGTTAAGAGCATTGCCTGCTCTTCCAAAGGTCCTGAGTTCAATTCCCAGCAACCACATGGTGGCTCACAACCATCTGTAATGAGGTCTGGTACCCTCTTCTGGCCTGCAGGCATACATGCAGACAGAATATTGTATACATAATAAATAAATAAATATTTTAAAAAAAAGTAAAACAGAGCAATAGCAAATCGAGCCCTCAATGTAATAGTAAAATGTATTTGTATTGTCTTTTAAATTTTTATTACATAAAATTCATATTATACTTTCCTACATTTATTCTATAACATAAAAATGTGATGCCAAAAAACCTAGTATTGTTTAAAAATATATATGATGGTACACCCTGCAATCCAGTATTCAGGGGCTGCAGGAGAAAGACGGCAAATTTGAGGCCAGTCAGACCTCCATAGTGAGGAACCCAGAAAGGCCCAGGATGAGGACAGAACACACTGCTATGGCAGAAAGTATAGGAATGGTTCTTAAAATAACAAAAACATGCTGGGTGGTGGTGGCACATGCCTTTGACCCTAGCACTCAGTAAGCAGAGGCAGGTAGAACTCAGTGAGTTCGAGGCCAGCTTGGTCTACAGAGAGTTCCAGGACAGGGAGGACTGTTACACAGAGAAACTCTGCCTCAAAACACCCCCAACCCCAAAAAAACATATAAAGAACAGAAAGAAAAACAAACTTACAAAACAAAATTCCCAGAGTGAACAGTCTCTTATGTGCCGCAAGGAACAGAGACCCAAACTGCATCATTTCCAACAGGGCACGACCCCAAAGCCCCCAGAGTGGGGGAAAAAACGGCAACAAAGACCAACTGACCATAACAGCATTGCTGGAAAGCAGAAGTCACAGGCCATGACCAAACTGATTAGAGCAACTAGAAGCCGTGGAATTAGTCACTACAGTGTCTGTAACACCACCAGCCCTGTCCTCATTCAGACTTGAGGAACACTTCTATTTAACTCCAAGACAATAAAGTCTAGAAACAAAGGAAGAAGCATAATCAACGCTACCAGAAAGACTTCAAGACAAAGTGACTTCAGATCATTTAAGTACCATAACTTAAGAATCCAGATATTAAAAAATAATAATAACAATCTTAGAGAACCAGCAAGACGGCAAGTGAAGGCCCCTGCCTAAAAGCAAGACAACCTGATTTTGATTTCCAGGACCCAAGTTGTCCTCTACACATGTGCCATGGTATATGTGCATGCATGTATGCACACATAGATAGATGATAAAATAGAAAAAGAAACCTTATTTAAAAAAACATACAACCTAGAAACCAATCCATTATCAATGTTTTATTAATCCAATTTTAAGTGAAATTAAATCAAGATAAAAAATTCAAAGCTGGGGTCTGGAAAGACAGTTCAGTGGCAAGAACACTGGCTGCTCTTCTAGAGGATCTGGGTTCATCACCTACTCTCGCTGGCAGCTCACAACCATCTGACTGCAGTTCCAAGAGAGCTGACGCCCCTTTTTTTTTCTTAATATTTTTTGTGGTTTATTTAACTTTATTTTATGTGCATTGGTGTGAAGGTGTCAGATCCCTTGCAATTGGATCTTCAGTTTTGAGCTGCCATGTGGGTGCTGGGAATTGAACCGGATCCTCTGGAAGAGCAGTCAGTACTTTTAACCACTGAGCCATCTCTCTAGCCCCGAGCTGACGTCCTTTTACAGCCTCTGTATATATTAAGCATGCACACAGTGCACATGCATGCAGGCAAAATACTTATATACCCAAAATAAAAATAAATAAATCTTTTTTAAAAATATTCAAACCTGAGTTGAGCAGACAGCTCAGGGGGCAAAAGCTATATGTAAGCCTGAGTTCAATCCTTGGAATCCACAGTGGAAGAACCAACTCCTCAAAGTTGTCTTCTGACCGCCATACACGTGTCAACACACACACACACACACACACACACACACACACACATCATACATATACACACATAATAGTTTAAAAAAACTGTCGGGTGGTGGTGGTGCACGGCTTTAATCCCAGCACTCAAGAGGCAGAGGCAGGCAGATCTCTGTGAGTCTGAGGCCAGCCTGGTCTACAAAAGCTAGGTCCAGAATAGGCTTGATAGTTACAGCGAAACTCTGTTTCAAAAAAAAAAAAAAAAAAAATCAAACAGTGCTGGAGAGATGGCTCAGAGGTTAAGAGCACTGGTGCTATTCCAGCAATCTCGGGTTCAATTCCCAGCACCTACATGACAGCTCATAACTGTAACTCCAGTTCCAGGGGATCTGATACCCTCACACAATATATGCAGGTAAATACCAAAGCACATAAAATAAAAATTTTTTAAAAATCAAACTGAACTGGGACGTGGTCACACAGGCCACACGCCTTTAATCCCAGCACTCAGGAGGCAGACACAACTTTGAGTTCAAGGTCAGCTTTGAACTCAAACTTTGAGTTCAAGGAACAGCCAGGACTACACAGAGAAACCCTGTCTTGAAACAAAGCAAACAAACAAACAAACAAACAAAAAAAACAGTCTATCTCTAAAGGACCATAGACACAGCTCTATTGGTAGCATACATTGAACGGTGTTCTGGACTCTATCCCTAGCACCCGGGGCAGGAAATGGGGAATGGATAATAATGAAACACCATAGACAGTACATACACACTAAAGCAATGATACCATTAGGGTTCTAGACTATAACTGCAGAATGGAATGTGTGAAGGGGGCTGGCAACACACAAAAACAATAGCAAATAGCCAGGCATGGGGGTGAACACCTATAACTACAGCACACAAGAGACTGGGACAAGGGAATTACAAGTTCAAGACCAGTGTGGGCAATATGGCAAGCCCCTCTCTCAAAAAAGCCCTGCACAGAATCTGGCTTATATCATTTTACCCTGTCACCCACAGGTGTTATGACAACTCAAAAGGGGACACACTAGGAAAGAGCAGTGAGGGAGTTCAGCCATCTTTCTACAGCTCTGACACTAGGTGACAGGGACCGCTGCCACCAGGAGGGTATGCGGAGCTACAGGCAACTTAGACCAAAATGTCCCTAGAAAGTCACCGCAGCTTCTGAGGGTGCACTCCACAGGCTTCCGTTTAAACACTTGATCCCAAGCTGTTGGCATTGTTTGGGAAGGTTGTAGAGACTTTCTAGAGGAAATGAGTCACAAGGGCTGGGCCTTGAGGTTTTTTGGCCTGAAAGAACTTTCTACTCACTCTGCTTCTCATATGTAGATGTAATGTGACCACGCAGCCTCCTACTCCTGCCACCACAGCTCGCCTGCCTGCAGCCACGCTTTCCCATGACAGAGGACTGTCCTTTTGGAGCTGAAGCCAAATTAACCCTGTCTCCTCAAGCTGCTTTTGTCAGAGGACTCAGAGAGCAGACACAGTGCACTGGGTACTTACATCCTGAAACATTTTGTTTTCTTGTTTCAGCCTAGCTTCTTTATCATCTGAGAGTTTGTAAGCATTCTCAAAGGCTTCTTCCAGATCCTGCAGCCGACATTTTAGCCGAATGATGGTGTTATCTTTTTCTTTGTTGCTCGTTCTCATTTCCTCAATTCGGTCCTGCAAAATTTTGGAGGCACTGCTGGCTGCACTGAAGCGTTCTCTCAAATCATTCTACACAGTGAAGACAGAGGTAAATCATTCCAAGTGAAAACAGTGCCTCCGTATTAGCTGATCAATTATGGACATTAAAATTAAAATTAAAAACAAAAACGCATACAAACAGAAATAAGCTACGTGACATCCTGCTGTGTCCTGCCACAGAGACTAGAGAGGACCCCTCTAATAGAGCTACTCCATGAGATTATCAAAGGTGGAGAAAGAAAACCAGCACATAGGGGTACAAGGATTCTAGGACTTGCCTAGACAGCACTGTCTGTGGATCAACCTAACGAAGAAAATAAATAACTACAAACATCAGAGGAATTCTGAAACTGTGACTAGAATGCACCGTTCAATATTCATATGCTAAGGGCTGGGGATTCTCTATACTCCATGGAAACACAAAATTAAAAATGTACCTCATGTGTTAACATTCATTCAATGGTGATTTCTGAAATACCAAATAGGTGCCATGCTACAGGATGCCAAAATGTAAGATGAAAGCTGGGCGCAAAGCCTCCTGCCTGCAGTCTAACTGATTAGAAGGCTGAACCGCAAAGGCTGCTTATACACAAGTCTAAGACCACCCTGAGCTAGAACATAGCAAGAAAGTAAGATAACCAAAATACTAGTCCCTAACTTCATGGTAGAGTTTATCATATAGATGAAGCCAACAAAATGTCTCGGTTATTAGACACTGGCCTAGCTTCGTTAGGACCTGAATTCTACCCAGAAAGCAGAGGCAGTGCATAAAACAAAACAGGTATTTTCCACCAAATTTTGCTTATAAGGTAATATATAAAGAATAAAAAGAATAGCCGGGTGGTGGTGGCGCACGCCTTTAATCCCAGCACTCGGGAGGCAGGGGCAGACGGATCTCTGTGAGTTCAAGGCCAGCCTGGTCTACAGAGCTAGTTCCAGGACAGGCTCCAAAGCCACAGAGAAACCCTGTCTCGAAAAAACAAAAAAAAGAAAAAAAGAATAAAACTTATTGCTGGGTGGTGTAGCACATGCATTTAATCCTAGCACTTGGGAGGCAGAGGCAGACAGATCTCTGTGAATTCAAAGCCAGCCTGGTCTACTGAATAAGTTCTTGGACAGCTAGGACTACACACAGAGAAATCCTGTCTCAAAAAAATTAAAGAAAGAAAAGAATGAAAAGGAAAGAGAAAGAAAGAAAGAAAGAAAAAATATAAAAGTTTAAGTCAGGCACAGTAGTGCATGCCTTTGAACCTAATACTTGGAAGGCAGAAGCAGGTGGGCCTCTGTGAGTTCAAAGTCAGCCTGGACTACACAGCGAGTTCTAGGAAAGCTGGAGCTACACACTTTTTAAAAAAAAGCTTCTGCACACCTAGCTATACATCCAGTAAACAAAATTAAAAGTTGTGATGATACATACCTTTTAGACATTATGACACCAGGACCTGCCATATAAAACAATACTTACCACTTCTATTTCTAGCAAATTATTCTTATTCTCAAGTGTTCGCACACGACCAGTAGCTTCATTCAATGCACTGTCCAGCTGACCACATCTAAAAAAAGCAAATTTAGAATCAGTTAGGAAACAAAATAATTTCTCTTTTTTTGTTGGTTTTTGTTTTTCTGGTTTTTTGGGACAGGGTTTCTGTCCTGAAACTAGCTCTTGCAGACCAGGCTGGCCATGAACTCCCAGAGATCTGCCTGCCTCTGCCTCCTGAATGCTGGGATTAAAGGTGTGTGCCACAATCACCAACAAAGAGGAAATTCTAATACCATGAACCAGTCTTGAGGATGTGCTGAGTGAAATAAGTCTGCCACTATATGTCAGTAGCAAAACACACATCCCTAGTCTCTGCAAGCCTGGGTTCCATTCCCAGCACCAAAAGAAGGAAAAGGAAAAGAAAGATACTGTGATTCCACTTGCAGAGTATTTGTTCAAATTCATGGAAACAAACGGGACAGAGGTAACCAATGTCAGGGGAAAGGTGGTGGGTGGGGATAAGGGTCTAATGAGAACTGGGCTTCAGATCTTAATTGCTCTTTGTATTTCATTATTATTTTCCCAATATTTATCTATGGACACTGAGGGGGAAGCGCCTACTGGGGACTGAACCCAGCACTTCACACATGCTAGGCAAGCCTTCTACCAACTGATCTACATCCCCAGACCAGAACTTCAGGAGTTAGTTTTATTCCCATTTGTTTGCTTGTTTGTTTGTTTGATGTGCGTGTAAAGACAACTTGCAAAAATCTCCTCTTCTCTCCCTCCACCATGTGGGTTCCAGGAATAGAATTCAGGTTGCCAGGCCTGGCAGCAGGCACTTTTACCAGAGTTTGCTTTACAAGAGGAAATGGTTCTGAAGATGGATATTGTTAATATATTTCAGCTACAGAACTGCACACTTAAAACAGTGAATTTGTTATACACAATTTGATATTTAAATTTTATATTTTTAAAATAGAGAAAACTGTACAAAATAGCTTGATGCTAGCGTGGGAAAATCTGTCTGAACACACACATGTCCAGGATATAAAGAGCTGGGCTATTTGGAGTCAGGGCACAGCATCTTTCTGAGCTGTTTCAAACTCAACATTAATGCACTATTCTTTTTATTAAATGTATACATGTGTGTAGAAGTTCGAAGGATCAGCTGTCGTATGTAGGAACAATACCCGCTTCCTCTGAGAAATGGTATCTTTGGCCTGGAGCTCACCAATTCGGCTAGACAGGCTAGCCAATGAGCCATGGGATCCTTCTGTCTCCAACTTCATGGTACTGGAATTACAAGTGCCCAGCTCCTTTTCACGCAGGCCATGGGATCAATACCATGTCCTCACACTTACAATTGAAGTGCTTTGCCAACTGAACCATCTCCCCAGCCATGAAATACTATTTTTTTTCCATTTTTTTCGAGACACCATTTCTCTGTGTACCCCGGCTGTCCTGGAACTCATTTTATAGACCAGACTGACCTCAAACTCCGAGATTTGCCTGTCTTAGCCTCTCCGCGTGCTACAATTAAAAGTTTATGACACCATGTCCAATGTTTATTTTCTTTTTTAGCTAAACTCTCCTGAGATTTTATTTTTGTGTGTGGGTGTTTTGCCTGCATGAGCATCTGTTCACCACATAAGTACTGCAGTGCCTCTCCTGAGACTAGAATTACATAGAATTACAGACAGTGACTAGCTGCTGTGAGATCCCTAAAAGTGCTCTTAAAAGCTAAGCCATCTTCAGTACAATGATTTATTTTCTTTTTAATCATATGAGTGTGTGTGTGTGTGTGTGTGTGTGTGTGTGTGTATACCATCAAAGACCAGAGGTAGGAAATCTCAGGAGCTAGAGTTACAGGCAGTTATGTGTTACCTGTCATGGGTGCTGGGAAGTTAACTTGGATCCTTCTGGAAGAAAAATATATGCTCTTAACTGCTGAGCCATCTCTCCAGCCCCTAAATTACGATTTCTATAAAGAATTCCTTTGCAAGTTATCGCAGACCTCAACAAGGTCCACAAAATTCAGCTACCATCTGACTCAGTGTTTAATGATAAATCAGGTTAACCTGATTTACATGCCAGATCTACGTTAAACACTTCACATTCAGTCTCACAATCTTTCTTTTAAAATGTGTGTGTATGTGTGAGAGAGAGAGTCACACATGTTCACAGGTATCTGCAGTCCATAAGCAGGCACCAGATTGTGATGGGAGAAGACAATACAGAAGTTCCTCCATCTTCTATTCTTCCAGAGGCTGTTTCCAGGTTTAACTAGAATCCCATGGAAAACTACCCATCTCTGTGTCAGGATGTACTAGCTAACTCATCTTAGCCTCTGTTAAAACTGCATGTTTGTATGGAACCTCCTTCAGCTAATTGCTTATGTTAGTTTCTGCATCACCTGACAGCAGTGACACATGCCTTTAATGCCAGCACTCAGGTTGGGCGGTGGTGGCACACGCCTTTATTCCCAGCACTCGGGTGGCAGAACTCTGTGAGTTCGAGGCCACAAAAGCTAGTTCCAGGATAGGCTTCAAAGCTACAGAGAAACCCTGTCTCAAAAAAAAAAAAACCAAATCAAAAAAAAAAAACAAAACCCCACAAATCCCAGCATTCAGGCAGGCAAATCTCTTTTGAGTTTGAGGTCAGCCTGGTCTACAGAGCTAGTTCCAGGACAGGCTCCAGAGAAACGCTGTCTCGAAAAACAAACAAACAAACAAACAAAACAAAAAAGCAAAAACTGCTTGCTTCAAGCTGCCTATTCTTGCAGCTGCCAAAAGAGATTCCTAGATGAGGTCTCTGCCCTTAAAATCCATGTTCTAGATACTTGGGGCCTCACCTAGGTCTATGAACACTTTGGATGTGTTCCAGCCAGTTGGAATAAAGACTTTCAACTGGCTATACTGTGTCCGAGTGGTTATCTCTAGTGGGCTCCCCATACCATTATCCCCTGGAGCTAGAATTAATGGCAACTGTGAGCCACCTGATATCAGTGCTGGGAACTGAACTCAGGACCTCTGGAAGAGCAATATGCATCTCTTCAGATGGTTAAATATGTTCTTTGACTGTACCATACATGTATATGGTATAGTCTTTACCCGTCCCTTGTCTGCCCCCTCTCCGCCTCCTCACCCCACCACCTCTACCACACACAAAAGTTGCCGCATTCTCTTTCTTTTTCGTTATGAAGCTGGGGTTAAAACACAAGGTCTCATGACACTAAGCCCAATACTCTACCAATGAGCTATACTCCCAGCACCCAAAGTCCCAGAATTCTTCATCTTCCCCCTCCCCCCACCCTCCCCACACGGGGTTTCTCTGTGTAGCCCTGGCTGTGCTGGAACTCACTCTGTAGAACAGGCTGGCCTTGAACTCACAGAGATCCGCCTGCCTCTGCCTCCAGAGTTGTGGGATTAAAGGCGTGTACCATTGCCCCGCTAGCATTCTAATTCTGCATGTATATTCCTAGTGTGACTCCACCATGTGAGTACCAGGAATCAAGCTGGGCTCAGCAGAGTTGGTGGGAAGTGTGCTTCCTGTTTAGCTATCTCACCAGCCCAAATCCCAGGATTCTTACTTTTTCCAGAACTCCACAATGGTAAAGATCCACAAACTATTCTTTATTTGCTGACTCTACTCCTTCAGAACTTTATCCACATGAAAGGCATGGCTTGTGTCAGTTACTAGAGGATTAACCCCTTGTGTCTCCAGACATGTCCTAGTTTACACGTCTGTGTGGTAAATTCTCGGATACAAAGCACGCGTTTTTACAGCATTTTATACCACACCATGATATATATACTTTGTGGAAGCAATCTACTCAAGGTGGAGAAACACTAGCTCCATGGTAGCCTTACCTGTCTATAAGAATTTCATTTTTCTTCTTCCACTCTTCAACGGCAGAAGTGTCTTTTGCCTCCAGTTTCTGTTTCAAACTATTTATCTCTGATTCATAGTAAGCTCGAAGATCCGCTATGTGTCGTGCATGCTTCTCCTTGAGGTTCTGCCGGATTCTGTCGGTGAGAGGGAAGATGCTCTAAGGAAAGACAGTCAATCCACATGTTTCAGGGCTAACTGAAAGGGATGGACCCGGGGCAGTTAATCTTCACTGGCAACTTGACAGAAGTCACCTAAGAGACACAGAGGTGTGTCTGTTAGGGTGTTTCCAGAGAGGCTTAACGGACCTTAACCACTCTGAATGTCCATGGGCTGGGGTCCCAGATTAAAGAAAAAGGACAAAGAAGATAAAGCAAGCTGAGCAGCAGTGTCTTCTCTCTGTGCCTCGATTGCAGATATGGCGTGACCAGCAGTCTCATGTCTGCCGCCTGCCACCATCCTTCTCACTGTGCTGGACTGTACCCCTCAAGCTGTCAGACAAAACAAACCCTTCCTTCCTTAAGATACTTTTGCCAGGTGTTTAGTCACAGGAATGAGCAAAGTAGCTACTAAACAAACCACAGTAATTCTCATAGCCAGAGTTCAACCTGTTCCTCCATCCACCCTGGAAAACACAACAGATGTCCCATATGCTCTAGACATAGAAGCATTCTGCTTAGCTCCCATTTACGGGATGCCTGTGTCAACACCTTTACTTCTGATTTTAAGACAGGGTCTCCCTGTGTAGCCTTGGCTAGCCTGAAACGTTAGACCAGGCTGGCCTTGAACTCACAGAGATCCTCCTGCTTCTATCTCAAAAGTACTGGGATTACAAGCAAGTGCCACCATACCCAACCTTTATCAACATCTTTCACTTCAACATAGCTATCAATAGTGAAAAACACACATTGGTTATATTTCATTAAGATTTTATATTTTACTGTGGTCCAATAAAAACCATTTTCATCATTCAATCAGACATCACAAGTCTATTAACATTAGCAGTATAAGTCAGTTGCTGAAATACATACTTAGACAACATCACAGGATCTTCCAGGGAAGCCAATGAAATGCATTCTGGGACACTGTTGGCTGTACCTGGAAGCTGGGACTGACTGACTGAGGCGGAAGCCAATGTGACAGTGTTTTCTTCGTCTACAGTTCTGACTGAGATATCGTTGCTACTGATGGTGCAGAGTGAAGGGACCGTGGAACTTGTCCTACTTTCACTGTGGAATGCATGGCTTTTCCAAGTGTCCACAGGTGATGCTTTCGTAGTTGAAGGATATTTGGGGAACCCAGATACCTGAGAAGCGTTATGACTTGCTTGTGAAAACAAGTCACTGTCAGAGTGACTGCACAGGCTTGGCTCCAGAACAGAGTCTGGAGAAAAGGATATTCTGTCGTCAAGAGCACTCAAAAAGCCATGGGGCCGAATCCCCACAGCCTTCTCCTTTGGCTTCATATGTATGATTGGATCCAGAGTCAGGACCTGGAAGTAAGATGGACAAGCATCAGGTTGAGGCCTTGGTGATCAGGCTAGGTTGCTGGCTGTCAGGAAAGTGGGCCTTAGCTCTCAGTCTTTGAGGGACAAACAGTGAGGCTGAAGAGAACGTCCTACTGTACTCATCAGGTGACTGGGACTGGAAGCAAGGGTGAGGTCCCCATCAAGAAACTGCTTTGCTTTCGCTTTGTCTTCTAGGACAGAACAGTGACAGTCACTTCATCTCATTACTGGCACGAAACTTAAAGATACGAAACAAAATAATTTAAACGGTATTATTAACAGTGAAAAAATCTGCTATCAAGATCAGCACCTTAAAAAAATCTGTGGAAGATTTTAAATAGACTGAAAATCTAGACCTTCGAATTAATAATATCAGCTTTGAAGACCTTTCTGGTGATGCCTCCTTCAGAATGGAAACTTGCTTATCTCCTAACAATAGGGACTAAGAGGACATTGGGACTTGGTTAGCAGTCCACAAATACAATCCTCGGTGGTCCTTGACATGGTCTGGAGCCTCACTGTCCCTCAAAGATTCATGTGCTGACAGTGACATCAGAAAACACTGGATCCTTGAAGTGGTGGAGCCTACTAGAAGGAAGTTAGGTCACCAGGGACATGTCCTTCAAAGATACTCTGGTCCTTTCCTCTCTTTTTCTTTACCTCACAGCCGTTTTTCTCTGCTCTGTCTGTCCATGATCTTTGGCCTCACCACAGACCCAAAAGCAATTTGAAATAACAATGAACTGAAACTTAGATGCCATGAATAAGTCTCTTGTCTTTTTGATACATTCTCTCACAACAATGGAAAACTGACTAATATTCTGTGTCCCCACTCAAAAGAACCAGTGTTTGAGAGCTGGAGACATGGCTCAGCAGTGAAGAGCACTGGCCAGTCTTACAGAACCCTATTATGTATGGGCTTTCTTTCCTTTTTTTTTTTTTTCTAATGTGTATTGGTGTTTTGCTTGCATATATGACTGGCTACCACTGGCATCTTTGGTGGTCCTGAGAAGGCCAAAATTCAACATCAGATCCCCTGGAATTGGAGTTACACAGTTATAAGCTGACACGTAGATGCTGGGAATTGTACCTGGGTCCTGTAGTACCAATAATAAAAGCCCAGAGACAGAAAATGGAATTCAACCCAAAAACCAGAAAAGACAGGCAAGCCACTAGAAGTCTTACCTCTACCAAGGCTGGGTGACAGCAAACTAAGCCATTTTGGGTTGAACCACAATTTTTGTCATTGGGCTTTTATTATTTGTTCTATAGGGTCTTCTGGAAGAGCAGCCAGTACTCTGAGCCATCTCTCCAGCCCAAAATACTGTATTTTAAAAGACACCAAGTTTTCTCAGCAAACATATAATCCCAGAACAGAACAGGGACAGTAGGAACAGGAAGATCGGGATTCAAGGTCAGGCTGAATGCCAGGTCAGAGTAGACTACATAAGACAAGAAAACAAGAACAGAGGCTGGCAAGATAGTTGAGCAGGTAAAAGCACTTGTTCTTGCAGACAACCTGGCTTCAGTTCCCAAAACCACAATGTGGTTCACAATCTCCCTTAACTCAAGTCCCAAGGAATCAAATACCTTTTTCTGGCTTCCACAGGTTCCTAGAACCACACAGTACAAATACAAATATAGGCACACTCACACACTCTCTCACACACACAGGTATTTAAAAGAACTTTAAAATTTGTATTACATTCATGTATGATTTTATGTGTACACGTGGCATGTGCCACGGCAGCTTGAAGAGTTGAATTCAGGCTATCAGGCTTGGTGGGAGGTACCTTTACTAGCTGAGCTATCTTCCCAACCACCATATATTTCAAACTTAGACCCTACTAAATCCCACAAAGGTGCCATGGATTTTCTTGTTGGCAGTGTGGACAAGGTCCCTCTGTTGCCTAGGCTGGTCTTAAACTCTTGGACCTATGTGATCTTCCCACTGTAGCCTCCCAAGCAGCTAGCTAGTACTATAAGCATACACTAATATACACAATTTACCAGAAATCAATACTTGTGTGTTCATGTTTGTGGGTTCGTGTATATGTGTAAATCAGAGGCAAACTCTGGTGTCATTCCTTAAGCATCTTCTTTCTCCCTTTTGCTTGAGACAAGGTCTCTCACTGTGCTACAGTTCTGCCAAGCAGGCTAGACTAGCAGTCACTGAGCTTCCAGCAATCCATCTGTCTCTACCTTATTGCCACACGAGGCTTTTCTAACTTATTTTTTATTTTGTCTCCCACTTTCGTGTGTGTGTTACTTCTTTCTTATTGTATTTCCCTGTTTTATTTTGGGGGGGTCTTTGTTTTGTGGTGTTGGGGATCAATTGAAGGGCACTGCACATTAAGAGCTCCATGTCTGATCCGTATCCCCAGTGCCACTGCTTATAAACCTTTCATTTCCCCAGTGCACTCTCCTCTTCACTTGATCAGAGCATATAAGAGAAAGATGGCCTGGGAGGATAGCATACACCTAGGATCCCAGACCCGGGGACAGCAAGGCAAAAAGATCAAGAGTTCAAAGTCACTTTCAGCTACACAATGAGTTGAAGATCAGGTGGGACACTACCTGAAACCTTGTCTTAAGAAAAAGTAAAAGACACAAAATATTTATATTTCTTAAAGAAAATACTGTAAATTAAAGGCTTCATAATTATGTTACAAATGTATCAAGTGGGAGTTTTGAAAGGACAGAAATCAGTCAGGCCTAGGAGAAAGGGAAAGGGAAAAAAATTAATTGCCAATAACCTACTACACACAGAGAAAAAAAGAAGAGAAAGAAAAGAAACAATAGGCAAGAAATATTTAATTTCAAAAACATCAGCTCAGCATTTTTACTTGTTAGTTTTTAATATCTGTGTGTCTATGTCTGTCCGTACTGTGCGTCTGTGTGTTCACACAAAATTACCTATCTATATGAAGACCACAGGCCAACCTCTTCCTCCATTCACCTTTATTTTTGAGACAGACTCTCTCACTGGCCTGGAACTTCCCAACTAGTACAAACTGACTGACCATCTAGCCCCAGAAACTACCTGGCTCCAGCTCCAGCTGCCGGGAGCAGTGTAAGAAGCATGTGTCAACACTCAAGGCTTTTCATAGATACATCATGGGGATTAAAGTCGGGGCTATAAGACAAACTCCGTGCTGACTGAGTTCTTCCCCAGCCTTTATTTTTGATTGTTGTTTGTTCTGCTTTCTTGAACTAGGGTCTCACTATGTTCCCCAAGCTGCCTCCAACTCATAGTGATTCACCTGCCTCAGCATACTCAGTACTAAGATTAAGGAAATGAGCCAGGTGGTGATGGCGCACGTCTTTAATCCCAGCACTCAGGAGGCAGAGACAGGTGGATCTCTGGGAGTTCAAAGCCAGCCTGGTCTACGGAGTAAGTTCCAGGATAAGGCTCCAAAAGCTACAGAATGTACTATCACCCCTAGCTTAATTCCACTTTAAAGTAACCTTTTTGAAATTATGCAGGAAATGAGGTGAGATATAGTTGATCTGACTCTCAAGCCTACACTTTCCCCAGCATTTTGGAAACTGAAACAATGCAAAAAAAAAAAAAAAATCTATGATGACAAAGTTATCTACAATCATAAAACAAAAGCACACACGCAGTACTCTGCATTACCTGGCTCAGTGGTCTGTCTAGGGAGGACGGTGCAAATGTCTTCTCCAAAGTGTCAGGCAAAGAGTGATACATGTCCTTCTCCTCCAGCTTCCAGTAAGTCAGCCCTGATGTGCACACACAGAGAACACAGTTCAATCACGGGTCAGTGAGAGGGCTCAGATTAAAGATTCTTGCTTCCAAATCTGATGACCTGAGTTCTAGCCCCCAGGATTCACATAATAGGAGAGAAGTTAACACACACAATGGTATGTCCTTGTCGCCTAGTCCAAATAAATAAGTAAATTAGTAAAAATTTGCTTCAAAATATAAACAACCAAAATGATTTAGTAATAGCTAAAAATGTAATTTAAAGAGAATGTTATTTACAAATACAGACTTCCATATAATCAATGTAAAGAGTTCAAATTCCCCATTAAATCTGTGGATAATGGCATATATCTGTAATCCCAGCACTTAGAAGGCAGAGGCAGGAGGGTCACCCTAAGTCTGAAGATAGCCTGATCTACATTGTGAGTTCTAGGCTAGCCAGGGCTACATAGTGAGACTCTGTCTCAAAAAATATAGATAGGGGGCTGGAGAGATGGCTCAGCCTTTAAGAGCATTGCCTGCCTGCTCTTCCAAAGGTCCTGAGTTCAATTCCCAGCAACCACATGGTGGCCCACAACCATCTGTAATGAGGTCTGGTGCCCTCTTCTGGCTAACTGTATACAATAAATAAATAAATATTTTAAAAATATACAGATAGCTCCTAACAAACAACACCCTTGATTGACCTCTGGCCTCAACAAGCATGCACACACGTGCTTGTGTACCCCATATGCAAGAGCATGCTTGTATGCAAATACACACACACACACACACATACATACACAGAGGAGTAGGGCTAAGGACGTAGATCAGCTGGGAGAGTGCTTGCCTAACATTCATGAAGCCCTGAGTTCCACATTCGAGTAGCATAAAACATGCTGACACACTGCCATAATCCCAACACTTAGGAGTTCAAGTTCTCATCAGTTAAACAGCAACTGGGCCAATCTGGGATACACGGGATCTTTTCAAAAAGAAAAAAGGTTCACAGAAAGGTGGGGTTCTGGGGGCAGGAACTATTTTCAAAGGATGGTAAAGGCTGGTTCACTGAGAAAGTAACTACTAGGAGAGTTTCCTCCCATCAGTAGGAAATATTTGAGTGGAGGAGGTGGTCAGGCAAAGTCTTCAAATGAATCTCATCACAGAGGAAAGGCAATCAGCTCCATCCTGCTGAGCCTTGTGGGGTTCCATAAGGATACTGGCTGTTGTTCTGAGGAAACGGGAGTACTGGCAGTCGACAGACTGAAGGGTAAGGGAGGCAGGTCAGAAGGTGGCGGAAAGGGAGTGCCTCAGCTGTGGGAGCAGTGGGAACAGGAAGAGGCGGCTGGATTCCAGTTTCTGTTCAAGCAAAGCTAATTCAAACTGGTAAGTGGATGTGCCATGTGGGTAACGGTGCTAAAACAGGGGAGTCAGCACATAAAGCCAGAAGACAGAAGAGCTGGCCACGGCTAGCAGAGGGTCTGAACTCGCTGAATCCTGTGGACAACAGAAAATGTCTGCGATGGTTTCTGCAGCTGTCTCGAGCCTCTGTGAGTGCACTGCCTCACCCCATTGCTGTAGAATTTAACACAAATTAAGGCAAACGGGAAAGTTGTGGAAACGGAGAGAAACACACAGTGTTTTTGGTGAAGTCAGATACTGCACACACTTCTCATACCACAGTGGAAAATGAAAGCAAGCTGTGGGTAAAATAGACTCTGTAAGTTCAGGGGGCTAGAGGGATAGCTTGGTAGGTAAGAGCACTTGTGGCTCTTCCAGAGGACCCAGGTCCAATTCCCAGCACCCACATGGTAGCTTACATCTGTAATTCCAGCTCCAGAGAATCTAACATCCTTTTCTGGCCTCCCATGGCACCAGGCATGGACATGGTATACATGTCACACATGTCAGCAAAACACTCATATGCATAGATCAAAATAAAGGTTAGAATTTTTTAAAAAATATTTATTTATTTATTTATTTATTTATTTATTTATTNTTTGTTTTAATATTTATTTATTTATTATGTATACAATGTTCTGTCTGTATGTATGCCTGCTGGCCAGAAGAGGGCACCAGACCCCACTACAGATGGTTGTGAGCCACCATGTGGTTGCTGGGAATTGAACTCAGGACCTTTGGAAGAGCAGGCAATGCTCTTAACCTCTAAGCCATCTCTCCAGCCCCAAAGTTAGAATTTTTTTCTTTTAAATTTAAGTTCCAGACCATGTGCTGGAACACCTTTAATCCCAGCACATAGGGGGCAGGAGAATCTCTAAGTTCGAGGCCAGACTAATCATATATTTGAGTTCCAGGACAGCTAGGTCTACATAGTGAGACCTGTCTTGAAAAATATAAAAAATAGTTTAAGTTCCATACCTGTTCCTGAATCAGACAAGCAAGAACTTGGGCTTTCAGTTGGTTTACTGAGGTAAAAGGCACAAGGATGTGTGGTGGCGGCGGCGGCAAGGTTGGGCTGCAAGAGAGGAAAGAGGACAACTGGTGGGCAGTTAAATGCATTTGGCACACACTGTTGACCCAGGGATACTCCAGGACTTAAGCAGGGGCCTCAGCAGGCCACGAAGAGCAGAGTGTTGATTCTCCGCAGCTGCAAGAATGCAGTATGAAAGATGAACAGTGCAGCTTCTCCTTCCCTGCACCATCTATCAAAGCTTTTTTTTTTTTGAACACTATGGAACTAGAGGATCGTTAGAAGGAACTAGAAAGCTTAGAAAGCTGAGAGAAGGTGTAATCTATGAGTTCAGAACTAAACTGTATTTATAGTCTGCTATCGATTTCTGACAATAATTTGAGAAATCTAGAATTAGTCATTTAGTAAAATTTAGTCGGGCATGTTGGCACATACCTTTGATCCCTGCACTTGGGAGGAAGAAGCAAGAGGATCTCTGTGAGTTTGAAGCTAGCCTGATCTACAGAGCAAGTTCCAGGACATCCAGGGCTATAAAGAGAAACCCTGCCTTGTGGGAGGGGGGTTGTTAACCTACTAATCTGTTTATATCATCACAACTTCAATAAATCAAATGACTCAAAATCACAAATCAATATGAACCTCAAATAACAAATTAATTTTGAGTTGTTTGTGAACAACATTAAACCCAGGGCCCCGGGCACACTAGGCAAAATGTTACAATTCAGCACTTCCTTCTGTTTCTGTGAGACAGGGTCTTGCTATAAAGTCCAGGATGATCTGAAACTCATCACCTTCATATCTCCAGTAACAGACGTGTGCGTGTACGTGTGCGTGTGTGTGTGTGTGTGTTGATGACAGAGATCAAACCCAGGTCACTAGCCATGCTAGAAAAGCACTTTACCATAAACTACATTCCCTAGCCCTTGGTTTGGGGTTTTAACTTTTTATCATCATCATTATTATTATGTATTTGGGTATTATGCCTGCCTATATGCCCATGGACTATTTGTGTGCTTGGTGCCCATGGATATCAGAAGATAGTATCAGGTAATCTGAGTCTAAAGTTACAGATAGTTATGAGCTACCATATGGGTGTTGGGAACTGAACCCAGATCCTCTGAAAAAAACAGCCCATGCTCTTAACCATTAAGCAATCTCTCCAGCCCCAAACCGTTGTTTTTTTTTTTTTTGTTTGTTTGTTTGTTTGTTTTGTTTTGTTTTTTTTTTGAGACAGAGACTTGCTATGTAGCCCAGGCTGGCCTAGAGTTCACTATGCAGTCCAGGCTGACTGTGGATTCACGGTCATCCTGCCTTCTATACTCTAAGTGCTAGGATTACAGGTATATGGCACCAGGCTCTCGGCCTGTTACTTCTCAGCAAAGAATAAAAGTGCTTACTACCCCTTCTGATTAAAAACAAAAAAACATGGCGTTCAAGAGGTGACCCAGCAGCTAAGGGTTAAGAGCAAGTACTTCTCTTGCAAAGGACCCTGACTGAGTTCACAGCCCTCACTTACATCAGATGGCTTACAACCACCTACAACTTCCGGCCTCCATAGGTGCCTACAGGTGTTCACACACACACACACACACACACACACACACACACACGAATCATAGTACCTCTAATACTGTCTGTCACACAGGAATCTATTTTCTGGGGATGGGCAAGCACAGTGGAATGCTGGCTGCACACAAAGAGCCTCTGCTAGGTTTCATGCTTACCACTACAAAGAAATGAAAAGCTGTCTCAAACAGAGATGTTTAGCAAGGACATTTTCTTCTTTCTTCCTTTTCTTTATTTTTTTAATTTATTTATTTTTGTTTTTTTGAATGTATCGAGGTTTCTCTGTGTATCCCTGGCAGTCTTGGAACTAGTAATTCAGTTATCTGCTAGCCTCGGCCTCCTGAGTGCTGGGATTAAAGGCGTGTGCCACCACACCGAGCAACACCTTCACCAATACCTTACTAGGTGCTCCTCCTCCTTCATCCTCCACAAATCAAAGAACCCAGGCAATACTTTATTAGAAGGAACAAGTTAATCACAAGTCTGCTGTACAAGGTACCATTCCACCTCTTTTTATCAAGATACCAATTGTTTCTTAGAACTCCTGACTGTTCCAGTCTGGAAAAGTGATTATCAGGGACTAAGTCAAGCACTCCCAAGTAAAATATTTAGAACTCGCACTGCTTCTGAGGTTCAGTCCTCAGGCCAGGAGCAAACACATACCATGCACTAAAATACTGCTATACACAATGGTGCTGGCTGCAAGCCTCTGGGCAAATAAATCCCTCCCCTCCCACACCACCCTTAAAAGGCCATCCACTCAAGAAAGGGCCCACTTGAAATAAAGTAACAGCATGATTCAACAAAGGCCTTCTAAATATAAGCCTTCTTAGTCAAAGATGCTGGCCTGAGCCCAGCTCAAGGACCTACTCAGGAGCATAGTCTAAGGGCCCATCAGAGAAACCCAAGTCCTTCAGTTCATGAATGGAAACAAAGGACCAAAGAAACAGAGCAATTTAGCCCTGGAAAATGCTTGTGCCACACAATGCACCAAGTCAAGATGGACTTCAAAGTAGCTTTTTCCCAGAATAAAACAGCACTGTGCAAGAGGAAAACCCCATCAGAGGAGAATTCTGATCAGCAGTTCCCACTGTGAAATGAAACTGAAAACACTGGGCACAGGGAACAGCTCAAGTAAAGAGTGTCCAACTTCTGTGAATCCAGAATTCTCCAACAAAGAAATGCATCGGGCATGCCATGCCCACATCACCAGCCAGTACTACCTCAAAATCACCCTCTGTGGAGTGCACTCTGGAAAGGTCCTTTAGTGCTCTGAGTGGGGCTCTCATTGTGAGCTACTGTGTCATCAATAGTGGGATGTCATTTCTTTGGAATGAATGGTAGACTGAAACTATTTGGAGATTAGGGTAGAAAATTGCTATTTTTTGTAGTAGTTTGGCATAAAGTGAGAACATTCTTCTACATAACAGTTTTTTTCTGTTTTATAAAACTTAACACTGAAATGCCATCTCACTCTCCACACCTCCAAAGATAGGGTCACTATGAGTTCCAGGCCAGCCTGGTCTACATAGAGAGTTCCAGCTAGACAGGACTACACAGTGAGATCTAGACTCAAAAAATAAAATTTAAAAAAGACTGGGGGCCGGGCGGTGGTGGCGCATGCCTTTAATCCCAGCACTTGGGAGGCGGAGGCAGGCGGATCTCTGTGAGTTCGAGACCAGCCTGGTCTACAAGAGCTAGTTCCAGGACAGGCTCCAAAACCACAGAGAAACCCTGTTTCGAAAAACCAAAAAAGGGGCTAGAGAGATGGCTCAGCGGTTAAGAGCACTGGCTGTTCTTCCCGAGGTCCTGAGTTCAATTCCCAGCAACCACGTGGTGGCTCACAACCATTTGTAATGAGGTCTGGTGCCCTCTTCTGGCCTTCAGGCATACATGTAGAAAGAATATTGTATACATAATAAATATTTAAAAAAAAAAAAGAGTAAACAGATAATAAAAAAAGAAAAAAAAAAACGAAGACTTGGGAACACTTATGACATGTTTCCTAGGATAACAGCAAGCCTACGCTCAGGACAATCAGGACATAGTTCGTATGGCACTGAGCCTCTCAGCTTGTCAAGGACCTGATTTGGGAACGTCCATGTAGGACACTAAGTGGTACTATCTATCCCATTACAATTTAGGCCATAATGGCAACAACATACACTGGAACTTTGTGTCTATGACCCTTTACTAAGCACAGTCGCTGGGTCAGAGTGTAAACACTTCATCTTGCAGAGCATGGTGGTGTACTACCACAGTCCTGCTACTCAGGAGGCTGGGAGGCAAGAGCAAGAGACGGCCTGGGTTAAACAGCAAACCCAACCACAAGACAAAAATTAATCTATTACCAATTTATAACTCAGATTATAAAATCAGAATTGTCCAAATTTCAACAATTTTAAGAAAGGCATTTCAAAGTGCTCGGTACGTACAGTACTACTTGTTGCAATGTACTGGCAAGATATACTATTTGAGGGTAAACTTTGCCGTGCTAGAGAAAAGACCCAGGGCTCATGTGCACACACCAGTCAAGTATTCTACCACTGAGCTACACCCCCAGCCAAAGCTTTTTTGGTTTTTTAATGAACTGGGGTTTGGAGGATTGTTTTTGTTTTCTGTTTTTGTTTGTCTGTTTCTTTGGTTCGGTTTGTCTCCAAAAAGAAGAAAGCGAAAGAAAAAGAAAGAAAGAAAGAAAGAAAGAAAGAAAGAAAGAAAGAAAGAAAGAAAGAAAGAAAGAGAGAAAGAGGAAAGACAGACAGACAAAAAAAGATTTGTAAATAAACAAAGGAGTAAAAACACAGCAATCCCAGTGTGACCATCGGAGCCACTTATCACCTACTGTTTCAACTGGAGGCTTCTGGTTTAACTCGCTCCCTGGCTTAGGTCTTGAGTAGCCATCTTCTGTATGTGCTTGCTTTTGCTGGTTCTGCTTCAGCTTTTGTGCCCATGATGTTACAGACTTACTACTTAAAAGGAGAAAAACAAAATTAGTTTAAAAGCCATTAGTCAGCACAGTATCTAGTGCTTCAGTGGGCAGTGTTTTGCTTTTCTACTAGTAGTAAAAAGGGGCAGGTGCAATGGTGCACACCTTGATTCTAGCACTCAAGATTCGCTCTCTGTAAGTGTGAGACCACACTAGCCTATACAGCATGTTCTGGGAGAGTTAGGGTTATATAGAGTCCCTATCTCAAAGAAACAAAAACTAAAAAAAAAAAAAAAAAAAAAAAAGATGTTTTACTGATTCTCCTAAAACTCTTTCTTGTATTTCTTGTAGTAATATTTTGTTTGTGTTTTAACAAATAAAGCCTGTCTGAAGATCAGAGCGCAGAGCTAAACCACTAGAGGACAGGGAGTAGTGGGACACGCTTTTAATACCTACATTAGGGAAACAGAGGCAGACAGATCTCTGTTAGTTCAAGGCCACCCTGGGCTACAGAAGATTGAATCTGTCTAAAAGAGAAACAGAGCTCACACAAAGATGATCCCAGGACTTGGGATCACACACTTTTAATCTCAACACGAGGGAGGTGGAGACAGGAGTGATATGGCTGAACAGAATGAGGAATGTAAGGGGGAGGAGGCAGGAGCTTAGTGCAGTCTGAGGTTTTGATAGAGACAGTTGCAGTCTGAGTATGAAGTCTGAGGAGACAATCTGAGGACAGGATGGCTCCTTTGGTCTGAGCAATGAGAGAGGTAAAAGAACTCGCCAGGGGGCTGGAGAGATGGCTCAGAGGTTAAGGACGCTGACTGTTCTTCCAGAGGTCCTGAGTTCAATTCCCAGCAACCACATGGTGGCTCACAACCATCTACAATGACATCTAGTGCCCTCTTCTGGCCTGCAGTCATACATGGAGGCAGCACACTGTATTGTATACATAATAAATAAAATCTTAAAAAAAAAAAAAAAAAAACTCTCCAGTAGCTAGCTGCTTTGCTTCTCTGATCTTCAGCATTGACCCCCTGTATCTGACTCTGGGTTTTTATTATTAAGACCAACTAGAATTCATACTACACTTTCTTATTTTAAAGATTTATTTTTCTGGGGAGATGGCTCAGAGGTTAAGAGAAAAGGGTTCAATTTCCAGCACCCACATGGCAGCTCAAACTGTCTGTAATGCCAGCTCCAGGTGATCTGACGCCCTCACAGAGACATGCCTGCAAGCAAAACACCAATGCACATAAATAAAAAAGTAAAAAGTGTCTCTTTTTTTTTTTTTGATACAGGGTTTCTCTTTGTAGCCCTGGCTATCCTGGAACTTGCTCTGTAGACCATGATGGCCTCAAACTCAAGAGATCTGCCTGCCTCTGTCTCCCAAGTGCTGGGATTAAAGGAGTGTACCAGTACTGCCCAGCCAAAAAGTAAAAAGACTTTTATGGATACGAATGTTTTGCCTATGTTTATTTGTGACTGCTACAGGCCTGCAGAGGTCTGGTGCCTGAAGAGGCTAAAAGAGGACATTAGTATACTACCCTTGGAGTTCCAGATCACTGTGAGCCACCGTGTGTGTGTGCTGGAAGCTCAGGTTCTCTGGAACAGCAGCAAGCACTCTTAAACCACTCAACCATCCCTGCAACTGCAAATTTTTCCGAAATTTTTATTTATTCATTCGTTGATGTATTTATTTATCCGTGTATTTGCGTGGTGTATGTGTGCCACAGTGGGCACATAAAGGCCAGAGAACAAGTTTGTGGAATCAATTACCTCTTTCCACCATGGGTGAAGGGGGTAGAGTTCAGGTCATTAAACTTGCATGGCAAGCACCTTTATCCAAGGCCACCTCACTGGTCCTGCCTGATTCTCCTAATTCTTTTTCTTTCCCTTCCTTTTCTTTCTTTTTTTTTTTTTCTTTTCTTTCTTTCTTGAGACAGAGTCTCTCCATTATATAGCCCTTGTCGTGGAACATGCTATATAAACGAGGCTGGTCTTGAACTCAGATCGACCTGCCTCTGCTAGGATTAAAGACATGCACCACCATATCCAGCTTCTAAAACACATTTCAGATGTGTAAAACTGAAAACTTATGGGAAACCACAAAATTTCGTAAGATGTATTGTTGTTTTTGACTTTGAAGTATTTTTGGTTTTTATTTTTTTCTTTTCAGGACGGTCCTGGACGTAGACCAGGCTGGCCTCCAACTCAGAGATCCTCCTGCCTCTGCCTCCCAAGTACTGGGATTAAAGGCATGCACCACACCCAGTCTAAATTTAAGAGTCTTTTTTAGCCAGGCTGTAGTGATGCATGCCTTTAATCCTAGCACTCAGGAGGAAGAGGCAGGCGAATCACTGTGAGTTCGAGGACAGGCTCCAAAGCTACACAGAGAAATCCTGTCGAAAGAAAGAAAGAAAGAAAGAAGGAAGGAAGGAAGGAAGGAAGGAAGGAAGGAAGGAAGGCAGGCTTTTTTAAAAGTTGATTTTGTTTATGGGTGTGTTACAATTATGCTATGTAAATGCACCACACTACACTGTAAAGTATCCTAGGGGGCCAAGAGAGAGAGTATTACAATTGTTACTGCAATTACAATTGTTAGCCACCATGTTTGTGCTGGGAACAGAACTCAGGTCCTGTAAAAGAGCCTCCAGAGCTCTTAACTGCCAAGCACTCTCCAGCCCCACATTTATCAGTCTTAAGCACTGAACATGGGAAAGTCGGGGTCACTATACACTGGATCTGCTTATTTCAGTTCTCCACATGCAGCTCCAATGTAAGAGTCAGATTTTAATGGTAAAGCTGATTTGTGTCCAAACATATTTCATTCTACTGCGGAACAAATAAAAAAAGTATTATTTACTATATTCTAAATGTCATTAATAAACAAGCAAAAGCCGCTTTAAATTATTGAAAAATTCTACTTACCTATTTGCTTTTCCACTGTACACTTCTGAAATCTTGTTTTCACTAAGAAAATTATGTTCAAATTCACCAGGAAAAGTAGAAACATCTTCCTTTAGAGGAGCACAAAGCTCTTCAGGGGTCTGTGCAAAAAAGTTCATGGCTGCTGTGCCACCTACAGGGGCATGTGCCTGCACCGCAGGGGCTGTGTGCTGCCCCTTGGAAGCCTCCTCAGGCTCCATGGGCTCTGGGGGCTCCTTAGCCTTGTGCGTGTTCATCTCCAGGATGCAGAAGGTGCCGTAGCCACTGCTCACTGAGCTGCTATCCACATTGCAGTCTAGGTGGGATGTGGACAATTCTGGCTGTGTCTCGGGTTCCTTAGACTCTGGGTAACTGGTAACAGACTCATTTCTTTCGCTGTTTTCAGATAAGCAGCCCATTTGGTTTTCTGAGGGCACCTGTTGTTCACTGACAGAGCCGCTGCTCCAGGAAGGCCAGGAAGCAGTGCTGAGCTGCAGTTTCACCAACTTCCTAATCTCCTCCTGTATGTGCTGAGAGCAAAAAGGGTAGAGAAGAAGTACTTTCAACAATTTTTTTGTTGTTGTTGTTGTTTTGTTTTTCAAGACAGGGTTTCTCTGTAATTTTGGAGCCTGTCCTGGAACTATTTCTTGTAACCAGGCTGGCCTTGAACTCACAGAGGTCTGCCTGCCTCTGCCTCCCAAGTGCTGGAATTAAAAGGCGTGCGCCGCCGCCACCCGGCTTACATTAAACATTTTTTAATGTTTTTTGGGGGTTTTTTTTGGTTTTTCGAGACAGGGTTTCTCTGTAGCTTTGGTGCCTGTCCCGGAACTAGCTCTTGTAGACCAGGCTGGCCTTGAACTCACAGAGGTCTGCCTGCCTCTGCCTCCCAAGTGCTGGGATTAAAGGCGTGCGCCACCATCGCCCGGCCAACATTTTTTAATGTTAAGAAAAGTCCATGCTATTACTCTAAATGTGGTGTCGTATCTTTAAAAACAAAATTAATGCATGAACTATTTTGTCTGCAATCTCACAAATGCAAAGCATCAATGTCTGAGGTAACTCACCTGGATCTTCCTGTGAAACTGCTCCTGCTGGGCAACAATCTGCTCCTGGCACTGTCGCTCAACCACACTGAACAGCTGCAACCACCTGGCCTAGGAAATTATAAAGAATGTGCACTGAACATAATTTCAACCTAAGACGCCACAAGAAAAATGCTCTAGTGAGAAACATTCCCTTTTTTAGACAAGGTCTCACTCTGTAGCCCAAGCTTGCCTGAAACCCACTATGCAACCCAGTTTGGGCTCAAACTCGCAGCAATCCCCCTACCTTAGCTTCCTAAATTATGGGATTATAGGATAGGCACCAAGCCTGAAAAAAAAAAAAATATGTTTGATTTTTGGTTTTATTTTTGGTTTTTCGAGACAGGATTTCTCTGTAGCTTTGGTGCCTGTTCTGGAACTAGCTCTGTAGCCCAGGCTGGCCTAGAACTCACAGAATTCTGCCTTCCTCTGCCTCCCGAGTACTGGGATTAAAAGCAAGTGCCACCACTGTCCATCAACTTTTGTTTTTTAATTATTTTAATGTAAAATTTATAGGCCAGTTTAAATAATGCAAAATACATATTCAGTGCAATATTACAAAGGCAAAGGTAAGTATCTTTTTTAATGTAATCTACAATCTGGAAAAATCTGTCAAAATCTTGTTTTTAATAATCTATGCCTTATGGGGCTAGAAAGATGGCTCAGAGGTTAAGAGCACTGCCTATTCTTCCAAAGGTCCTGAGTTCAATTCCCAGCAACCACATGGTGGCTCACAACCATCTGTAATGGGGTCTGGTGCCCTCTTCTGGCCTGCAGGCAAACACACAGACAGAATATTGTATACATAATAAATAAATATTAAAAAAAATAATAATCTATGCCTTACTAAAAATAAATCTATGCCTTATTTTTCAAATGTAATCTTTTTTTAATATTTACTTTTATTTTATGTGACTTGGTGTTTTGCCTATATGTATGTCTATGTAAGGGTGCTGAATCCCCTAGAACTGGACTTACAGACAGTTGTGAGTTACCATG